CATGCAGGTGTCTCTTTCTGTTCCGACGCTGCTACACGTAATATTTTTAATTTATTAAGCCTACAATTTATTTTTACTCAGTAACGGATATGATTTAAAATGTAGCGAATTACAATTCTTTTTTAAAAACTTACTCAAGTAAAAGTAAAAGTACAGATTTTAAAAACGACTTAAAAAGTATAAATTTACAAAAAAGCTACTCAATTGCAGTAACGTGAGTAAATGTAATTCGTTACTTTCCACCTCTGGAACTTGCAACACCATTTATACTTGAACATTTGGATTTGACTACATAGTGTAGTAGTTATTTTAGTAATTTGTTTAAAGTGGCTATTTATTTTAAATACATATTTTTTTAAGGTTGACTTGTACAGTGCTCAAGTCAAGTGTGGACTGGAGTTTTAGATTTTCATTTTGATAATGAAGAAAACAATATATGAGAAAACAAGTGGTGTTTCTTTGATTTGTTTACATATTGTTTATGTTTTGAATGTTTGGATTTGTATAATTTAAACCTGCACTGACTACTGTAACATTTTCCAGAAAAGAAGCTATTTGTTCCTTTACTTGTGAAAAGTTGCACCTTTGCTAAGGCTTTGTGTTATTTTAGGTTTAATAAACACTGTTAAACCTTTTCAAAACTATTTCAGTTTGTGTAGAACAGGACTATCAATGTTTGCTGAACATATGCAACACCGTTTAAAAAATACCGCGTAATACCGAAAACCGTGATAATTTTGGTCACAATAACCGTGAGGTTAAATTTTCATACCGTGACAACCCTAGTGTGGTCTTGATTTTAGCTTAGGATAATACCATGTGGACTGTGGTGGTCAGTTTCTGGTGAATTTCTGCCTCCACTCGGGGTTCCGATTGGTCTGATCGGAAAGAATAATGGATGGTCGTTGCTGAAGACAAGTCACATTCCAAATTGATCTTGCAGACTCTTTTGTGCTTTCTCGCTACATGCCTTGAAACCAAGGAGATTGGGGTCCTGATGCAAGTGCTGCTACCAGATGGGGCATCAAGGTCACTCATCTCATCCCTCCCACTGCTGCGGAACTGCTGAGCGGGGCCGCCACGACTGCACCATCCTCATGCGAGCTCACCGAGGATGGCAGATAAGTAAACAATCTGCCTTAAGATTGCAGGTTCCATCCACCATACCGCTGCTGATGTTTGGTGGTCGCACTCTACCCTGGAACTGCCCCTCAGCACCTGACGGAATGAGTGGAAACAGCAGCAGTTGGGGGAACCACGGAATCGACATTTGGTGGTTGAGGCTCCTCCCGAGCCCATCCACACGACACTGTGACCTGCCTCCAACGATGTCAAGACCCAGCACCCCAAATCTCCCATCTGGTTTCATGGCTCCCTGACCAAAAAGACCCCCTCACCGTCCCAACCGTCACAGGATCCCACATTGCTATAACAACATCAAAGTTGCTGACACACACCTTTTGCTCAGGATGGCTCTCTCCTGCCACACACATGTGGCCTTTAGGGATTGGCTCCCTGCCACCCTTGCATGAGGATGGCGTCCCTACGAGGACATTTGAGCTGAAGTAAGAGAGTCTGAGCGGAGAATCCATCGCACATTCAAAGTGGACTTGATTCGCACCAGCAATTCACCTCTTTTCCCTGTCTCAAGTTCCACTGTTTCCAGGAGTCCATGATGTGTCCAACTGGGTCTGTCCCGGCGGGTCATCCGGGAGCCCCTTCTCCCATTCTCATTGTTAAAAAAATGTTATCAATCGCGTTGAGAGACCAGCTGACGAGATCCATTTAAGTGAATTTCAGTTTCCAGAAAAATGCAGAAGCAGCCGTGCACCCAGCACACACAGACAGACAAAGGCCTTGAGGATAATATATGGAGGAGAGGAGGAAAAAAGCATCTGCACCCGCCAAGAGCCGGAAGAAGAGTAGTCCTGAAGATTAGACATGAGGGAAATTTGTGGATGTAGTCTTGTTTACTGTGATATATACTGGTGATGGCGAGATGAAGCCTTATGATGAGCTGAAGCTTTCCATCCAATTGGTTGACTCTTGATTCGAGGCACCATGCAGATTCATTTGCTCTGTTGCGCCATCAAGTGGTCGATTCAAGTAAAACTCTAAACCTTTAAACTGACAAAAGAAATGCTTATGATGGCAATATATTCCTAATACTGTCTTAAACTTTCCTTTTAATATACTGCCTGGTCCAAAATAGAAAAGAAACTAACAGGACATAGGGTTTCCACAGCACAGTGTGACGGGGGATTCAGTAGGGTTTGGCTAACGCTTTTACTTCAAATCCGGCGCAAACCGGCGAGCCAGTTCCTGAATCGGCCACGTGGTACAGACAGCCAACGAGGCCTCGAACGTCACTGCTTACGTAACCGACACAAACCTCGATATGCGCTTCACAAAAAAATCTTCCTGGATACCCGACACACACTTCGAAGCGTCGACACATCACTAATGTGCAGTAAATATCAGCTAAATCTGAATGTGTCCAATTGGAATATATTGGAAATTTAGAGATTTGGTTCTTTACCTAATACAACTGTCTAGGCAAGTAGAACACTTTATTTCCAATGGGGAAATAAACTGAGCACCTCTTTATCTGTAGTAATTTAGCTGGAGATTATCTGGTTTTCATGTTTGGTGCTTCTCTTGACTTCTCTTGAATGAGAAAATGGGATTTGTGTTGCCAGAATTTCTCAAGCTTTGCAATTAAAACAATAAAAGGAAGCAAAATTAAACTAATTACAATGACAGGCCAGGCCAGAAAAATTATGTAACTGTATTCCATTAAATGATTTGAAATTTACTTTCGCAAATGTATCATGAAACACAAGTATCAGCTTTGCTATAAGATAAAAACACACAGAATGTTAATCCATAAACAAATGAACACACACAAGCAACACAGTCATCCTTGTGAGGTAAAAGATATGATTTTTGAAGTAGAAACTGCTTCATGGTAAAAGAAAAAAACAGCTTTTTCAAAACTTCTCAACTTCTCTTTTTTTCCCAAGGCTCTTTGTCCTGTCTGCCCACAGAGCGCTTCTCTGCATTTCTTCAGAAAAACTCTTTTTTTTTTTTTTTTTTACTAACCATGGATTTCATAAACTGGTCATTCAATGCGATCGATAAGATTTTTTTCAACAATGAGAATGGAGCAGGGGCCTCCCACATGTCCACAGGGGACACACCCGGTGGGATATATGTTGGATTCCTGGAAGGAGTGGAAGATCATATGCCTCTCCCAGCTGTACATTGAGAACATCGAAGACGTGTGGATATTTGGTCTGATGATCACTGGATTTCTCCTGATTGGAGTGGGAGGATATCTGGTTTTCTCAAAATTTGGGAAGACGGGAACAATTGGAGGGCGACCCACACCCACAGAAAGCACCGTCCATGTGAAGACTTCTCAGACTGGGACGTTACTCGAGGTGAATCGTAAGCTGGACAATGTTCTAGCTGCGATACCGGTATTAGTGCGCAAAATGGATGTAATCTCGGAGAGAGTCATCGGACGGTATGGACAAGCTTAAAAACCCGATATTGGCTTCACTGAAGTACTGGAAATGATCAGTTTAAAGACTGAAGGCAGGGAGGAAAATTAGCCTGACCCAAACAAATTCTTGTTGTCTGAATCTGACACCCTGGCAGCCTTGAGCTGGAAGCAACTAAAACCCCCATGAAGGAATGCAGACAGATGCTGTGAAAACCCGACCCCCCCCCCCCCCCACCCACCCACCCCCCGCCTTCCTATTGGAGTCTCATGTTATGTTGTGTTGTCTGAAGTCTGTTGCATATCTGTCTGAGGTGTTTTTTTGCAGAGCAAAGCTGCCCTCCTGGTGGTGGGTAACTCTGAAGTGCCTTTTTCCCCTCCACTTGAACCAATCCTCATGTAACCCTCTTATCTCTATTAAGGTAGCGCGACTTGGGTTGCGAATGATCACAGTCACCAATTATTTTCATGTGTCTTGCCTATGTATGTCTGATCTCTGAATTGTGTGTACTGAAACTCTAATTTCCCTCTGGGATTAATAAAGTATTGATTGCTAGATAGATAGCTAGATAGATAGATAGATAGATAGATAGATAGATAGATAGATAGATAGATAGATAGATAGATAGATAGATAGATGGATAGATGATAGATGATAGATAGATAGATAGATAGATAGATAGATAGATAGATAGATAGATAGATAGATAGATAGATAGATAGATAGATAGATAGATGATAGATAGATAGATAGATAGATAGATAGATAGATAGATAGAAAGATAGATAGATAGATAGATAGATAGATAGATAGATAGATAGATAGATAGATAGATAGATAGATAGATAGATAGATAGATAGATAGATAGATAGATAGATAGATAGATAGATAGATAGATAGATAGATAGATAGATAGATAGATAGATAGATAGATAGATAGATAGATAGATAGATAGATAGATAGATATATAGATAGATAGATAGATAGATAGATAGATAGATAGATAGATAGATGATTGATTGATTGATTGATTGATTGATTGATTGATTGGTTTTGTGAACACTGTTTCCTAAACCTTTACATGCACACAGATTTTGCAATATCCTGTTATCTATAAATACTTTAAAGTTTTTTTGTAGTTTAAATAAGCTTTGGGTTTAAATTTTCTGTAGCAAATGCTAATGCTATATGTGTTGACCTACAACCAAGTTTTTATGAGGTTTTTGCTGAAATACCCATGTCATGAAAATTCATGTTAATACCAATCTTAATAAAGTATGTTATGCATGAAATGAAAATGGTTTGCGTTGGAGATTATTTTATATTTCATCAGTCACCTTCTTTGCTCCACTTACTCTTGTTTCTTCAACTGTGACAGTTCATATCTTCCATTAATGTAAAATATTATTTGTTGGTAACATAATGGCAGAAGCACATTTCAAAAGATCTGAGCTGTTCTTTCACTGGTGGAGAAGATTCTACTCTATCTTACCTGTAGAGGGCAGCATTGAAGTTCTGTCACCTGGCTTAGATGATTCAGATGAAATTATTGGACATGGAGAGAGGTTGGCTGTTGAATTCATTGAAGATCGTATTGATGTTTCAATCTTATAGCTGCGTATAAAATACCAATGTAACTGTTAAACAAGGGGAGGGAGAAAGCATCAGGTACTGTTAGATATTCACAACATTATGAGAAGATACCACACTAAGCAAAGACATGAAATTAGATACCAAGTTAAACATTTAAGCAGTTCACCTACCGTCCATTAATGAAATGAGGCATCGCCATCAAGAAGGTCCCTAAAGACATCAAGACACATCCCACTGCTATGATCTTGGGTCGGTGAAGTTTGGCACCAAAATAACTAACAAATGCAATCACAAGCAAATTCCCTGCAGGGTGAAGAGAATAAAAGAGACTGAATCAAGCAGAAAATATCAATCTCAGACTAAAACGTGTCACCTTAAAAAATATAAATAATCCATCTAGTCATCTGAATAGACCAGCTCTATAGCAGGGTCCTTGAGGCTATGAGGGAGTTCACCAGACCATCCCACCTGCGATTTGTGGATCTGGAGAAGATGTTTAACTGTGCCCTTCAGGGAGTCCTTTTGGACGATACGCTGGGAGTATGGGGTACCAGGCCCATTGATATGGGCTGTTAGACCCCGTATGGTCGAAGTCAGGCTCATTCCCGGTAATAGTTGGACTCGGTCTAGGCTGCCCTTAGTCACTAATAACTTTTATGGATTTCTTGGTGCAGCCAAGGTGCTTTGGTAGCTTAAGGATCAGGTCCCTGATTTTTGCAGATGACATAGTCCTGTTGGCTTAATCAGACCAGATCTCCTGGATTGAATGTGTTCTCCAGGTCAAGAATAAGTTCCTACCCCAAGTAGAGGTGTATCTTGAGGTTTTGTCCACAAAGGAAGGAAAGATGGAGTGAGAGATTGATTGGCAGATTGGTGCTGACTCTAGAGTGATGAGGGCATTGTACTGGTTTGTTTTGGTGAAGAGAAAACTGAGCTGGAATCTGAGGCTTTCTATTAATCGGTCGATCTAAGTTCCAACCCTCTCCTATAGTCGCAAACTTTGGGCAGTGATCTAAAGAGCAAGATCGTAGATACAAGTGGCTGACACAAATCTTCTCCACAATTTTCTCCACAGCTCTCCCTTAGAGATAGCGTGAGAAGCTTGTTCATCCAGGAGGAGCTTGGAATAGATCTGCTGTTCCTCCACATTGGGAGAAGCCAGTTGAGGTGGCTGGGGCATCTAGTTAGGATGCCTCCCTGGTGACATTTTGTCCAGCTGGGGGAGGCCTGGATAAAGCTCTATTTTGTTGTTGAAAAATTACCAGGTAAGCTAAAAACTACCTTGTTTTTCAACATAAAAACACTGCCAAACAAAGTGGGTGGGAAGATGTTTGTTTTGGTTCAAAGTTGGTTCTGAAATTCTGACCTTGGACGCTCAGCAGAGCTGTGTGTCTGCTTCTGTGTCTTTCTTTCAAGCAGGTGTTGTACCATATTTTGAAACCACCAGATTCTGTGACTCTAAGGCAGGATGTTCAATTAGATGTTTTGTTGGGTCAAATTGTCATGAGGCTTTTGCCAGTGGGATGCTAAATTCTCCCTCTCTTGTACTGTACAACTGCCTTTTCTTTTAGTCAGTATGCATGCACTTCAGAGAGACGTTGTAGCTTTCCAAGTGATATTCACACAACTATTCTGTCAAGCCCCTGAGTCTGGTGGATATTCATTATCAAAGTTGGCGTGAGTTATCTTGAAATGCCGCAGCACATTGTGTTCTCTATCTACTGAGCAAATGATGTGATGGACAATGCACATGGGGTTTCCTTCAGCATTTTGTATTTGCACGCACTTATCCGTCCAGCCGTCATTACATTTTCTATTTTCGCTGTCTACCTCACGTCTCTTCTCTTTTGGATGGGACTTGTTTTCCTAGGAAACCGTTGTTGTAAACTTTCCACCACCAGCGTAAACGACAGCTCTACATGCCTTCAAATATCAAAAAGCATTGTAAACTGTCATGCTTAGGGTTAAGTCTGTAGCGTGATGAATTGTCCATTTCTGACCTAAAAGGCCCTGCTCTGTTTTGCTCTGCTCAAAGCAAAACCAGAAGTTCTGACACAAACCTAATCTGCATGAGATATTGCTCAAGGTCTCATGCTCTGCTCCTAAACTGTTTCTTCCTTTCCAGCTCAAGAGAAGAATGAAGACAAAGGACTCTTTCTTTTAATGAATCAGAAGAACTCTATTTTTAATAAAGCTAATCAAACAAAGTGTTAGTCCAATAATAAAATGTGAACCAATCTGTGAAATGACAATGTTATGATCAGTAGTTATAATAAGTAATATAACTTTAAACGTTTCCACAAGAGACTGATCACAAAATAATGTTAAGAATCACATGACACATTCCTTTTTCTGATCCAATCAGAGCCTTCCAGATCTGACGCGAGGCGTGGTTTCGCTGGTGCTTGGTAAATCCCTTGTGGGTGTCCCTTTTTGATTCGACTGTAAATCAAAACATCCAAATTATAAAACTATGCCTAACTTCAGTTCAAGCGTTCTAGAGAAATTGTCGGAGTGGCCAATCCAGGGCTGTTGCTAGCTATTTTGGTGCCCTAAGCACAAAGGCTTCGTGGTCCCCCCCCCCCCCCCCCCCCCCCACACACACACACATACAGAAAAAACAACACAATAACACAGTATGTGCAAGCGCTTCGCCTTAAATTTTCTTTAATTCTCACACACAAACTGCTTATTATTTTCCAAAAAGTAGGATTGATATTTAGTTTGTGTGTGTGTGGGGGAGTGGGGTGGGGGTGGGGGGGTCATTTAGCCTTGGCCCCCAAAATGTCTTGAAACGGCCCTGGGTGTGTGACTGAGTTTTGAAGGTGATCTGAATTGTATCAGATGTATAAATACTGCATGTGTGTAACTTATTGTTTTTTACAGGTAAAAACATGTAGTGGAGATAACATTTTACTTTTCAACACTTTGTTTTGTTTTCTTGTTTTTAATGAACTATTTTCCTGTCCTGTCTGTCTCTCATCTTCCTGCATCTCCTCTAAACTCTCCAGAAAAACTGTTGTCTGAATTCTTACTTTTTCACCTCATCAGTTACTTCTGAGCAGATCAAGGGGATCTCCTGACCGCAAAGCGGAGTGCGCGATTCGATGCTGCGTCAGTGAGGTGAAATCACCGCAGTGCAGGTGATGAGCTCTGCAGTAGCAGAGCGCCAGGCACAAATAAGACAGAAAATAGAGAACATGAGCGGACATGAACGATCGTGTGTTAATTATAGTTTTTTGGTTGCGCCACGTTGAGAATGGACCGTGCGCTGGAAGCAGCAGCCTGAATCGCTGCGCAACAACACAGCGCTGTGTCGCTCTCTGTGCTCTCTGCTCAGAAGAGTCCACAAATGATGTAATATAGGTAGAAAACTTTTTTCCGGCTCCCCTGGATGTGTAGGATATACAGTTCCCCCATAATTCGATCCCTGCTCCTGGATGAAAAGCCGGACATTTTCATCAATATAAGAACCCGCAGTCCGGACGTCCCGGACAGGGTGAAAAGTGGACACGGTCCATCTCTTTCCTTTTTGTATTGTTTTCTCTCTGTAAACATGCTGTTAACTTGCTTTGCACATCTTCTAATTGAAATCTGTCTTTATCATATATATATTATTTTTCATAAGCTTGCGTTTGATGCCCCTTCCCCGGCGTGGTGCCCTACGCGCTGTTTTGTGGTGTGCGTGTGCGGAGCGCCGGCGCTGGGCCAATCCGTAACTTTCCTCTTCAGCCGAAAGAACCTAATGACAACTGGATTAAATCTGTTGCCTGTTCCACCTGCTGCAACAGTTCCTTTCAGAATAAAAGCTGAACCATCACGACCCCCTTTTTGGGTCTTGCTAGATGCCAATAAACTGTCGTGACCTGGAAGTATCTCAAGACTGGTCTGGTCGGCATCCGCTGCTTTTCTACCGGCTTCGGTGCCAGAGGAGGTCAAGCTGGACCTCGACATTCCTGATCTAACGGGGACTTCCGCCAAGGGTACTTAGACCGACAGATGGCGTCTCAATGCGTGTTATAAATCTCCAAACCAAAGCTTAGTGCGAAACATCATCTTCACTCCCATCAGAACTAATCATTTCTCCGGATTTGCTGGTTGTGAACATTTCACACATAAACCATCCTCAGTCTTACGTCACCTTAGTTACATCATACGTTTAGTGTTTAAAGTTAGTCTAGTTTTAATTTGTTTAGTAATAAATCTTTAAACTTTTTAAATTTGACTCTCTTTCTTTTGTCTGAGTTAATACGACGTGGTTACATAATCCCTGCAATAAAAAGTTCCAATCTTCTGGTTTAAATTATCAAAAGATCCATAAGATTGATTTCATATTTCCTATGGAATCTCACATTTTATGGTTCATTAAATAATATGTAAATGTAATCGTTACAAGTCATAGCTATTAAAGAGTACAATGTCCTGCAAAAAAATAACAGATTTAGGGTTAGGGTTTTTCAGAGATCCTGAACAAGATATCAATGTTTTTGTATTTTATACTCACCGATTTCAAAGCTTCCATCTATGATGCCGATCAGATAGCTGGGAATGTCAAATCTCCTCTCTAGTTGTGTGATCGTGCTTTTCATGTAGCTACCAGATAATGCCTTCGAAAAGTAAGCAAAGGACAGTGCTGCAAGGAACATCTAAAGAGCCAGAAAGGAGAATGAAGCAAAATATTTAATATCGACCAAAACAGATGCGAATAATTGGACAATACAAATAAAAGAACAATTAAACATTTAATGAATATATGCATGAGTAAACATATGTTTGTGCAAGAAATGTAATTTATTATTTTTTTTCAGTCCTGATAAATATCTTTATAAGAAAACAGGTGACTCAGCCTCACTTCACCTTTTGCTCAGACCACCTGTGGACTCTAACAGTCTATAACAAAGGTGGGATTAGAGAAACCAATCCCATATGAGTACATACACATCCACAGCACCTTGAGCTGACCGCATGATGGGAAACGGGTGTTTTTGTGTGGTGGTGGAGCTTAAAATGAGGTGTAAGTCAACATGTTCAAATTTGTCAGCACAAATGTGTTTTTTATTACTCTCAATAAATCAAATTAATAGCCAACCGAGCCAAACCGCCTTAAGCAGCTTCTAACAGAAATCTTCCAGTTTTTAAAATATTTGAAATGTCTTTTCACTTTAATCCACAACATTGAAAAGCAAGCACTTTGTGAAACCCTCTGTCACTGGCCTCATCTATAATCAGAGTTTAGAAATCATAAATGATACATTTGAATCTTCAGTTTTCTTATTTTGAAAATCAGTTGTGCAGCTGAGTTATACTGTCTCGTTCTGTCATGTGTTTGGGTCCACCAACGTACCACACCTGGGCTGGTGTAGAAGAAAGATGAAAACCTCATTTGGTTTTTCATAACTGGACAGCCTACTTGGAGCCATGTAATAATTAAAAGTAACTCAGACATGGCGCTCACAACATGTTCAGTTACTGGCTTGACACCACAAACGGATCCTCATGACAGTGGTACTTTCCTGCAGACCAACACAGCATTTGTGCTGTCACAGCCCGGTTTTTGGTGCTGAAGCCAGAACTTTTAAAGGTGAGAAAAAAAACTTGGTATTGGAAGCAATCAAGTGGAGATAAACACCTTTGAACAATTTTCCAACATTCGTGTGAACTAAAACTCAAACAAATTAAAATAAGGGACAAGATGTTATTTTTCTGTAAACAGAAAAAAAAATCTTAAAGACATGTAAAATAAACAAGGTTGTGTTGCGTAAAAGACATTAAAAGGAAAAGGCCACAGTAGGATTAATAAATAGGAAAAACACAGGCAAAAGGCAGCAAGCTGGGAATTCCTTCTATTTTATTACTAAGCAGCTTTGTAATTATTGTTGAACATTCTTCTTAATCCAATAGAGGTACAAGTACTCTGTTGTGCCCAGTTTAGCTAAAGCACAAAACTGCTTCCAGAAGAGTAAAAGCTTTAAAAAGGGTTCTTTACATGACCAGAACTTCCACACATTCAGTAGGTGTGCCCATTTACACAATGGGTGAATGGACATGTGGTAGAAAATCCGAAATGACACCAAAGGGGCAATCCACTGCTCTGGGGCAACCAGTTCATTTCAATAATGACCTCATCAGTGTACCAGGACAAGCACAAATTAGTAACAAACAATAGGACCTGTTGATATACAGAGCCCTACTGTGCAACAATGCAAGCTGCACAACAACACAGGTGCAGTTTGTGTTGTGCTGGAGTAACAGAGCATACAGTATGAGCATTACCACGATCTTGGGTTAAATGAACAATTCTGAGAGAGAGAGAGAGAGAGAGAGAGAGAGAGAGAGAGAGAGAGAGAGAGAGAGAGAGAGAGAGAGAGAGAGAGAGAGAGAGAGAGAGAGAGAGAGAGAGAGAGAGAGAGAGAGAGAGAGAGAGAGAGAGACTGATTGTTTTGTGAAGCGCCTTGGGGGGTTGTAGGAAACTAAAGAAGGCGCTATAGACACACAGGCCATTTATCATTTAGTACCTTCAGATTGGGGTGGCAGCTCTTCGCTTTAGAAGTGGCAGAGTTGTTCCGCATCCAGCCTCCTGTGACCATTCTGCCCAATTTCATCATGGCGGCGTTTCTAGATGATGGTTGACTTTTGTGGTGGGAAGGTAAAGAGAGATAAGACTGGTTTATGTCTCATCTGGGATAAAAAGCTTTATATTGTTTCAAGACATGGACATTGTAAATTAGAGTCAAGCACTCTGTGTAATATTTTAAAAACAAAAGCATTAAGCAAAGTACACTCAATAGTGATTATCGATCTTTTCATAAAATGGGTTAGCTATTTTAGTAACCAAGAGGGCTTTCTTACAAGGAAAGATGAACTAAATATAAACTTTTCTCCTAAAACTTCCGCATGACTTTGAACTATGGCACAACAATTCAGTAGGGCAGCACTTTGACACAGAAAAACTGACGAATAATGAAGCCCTTATTCTTTTCTGAAAGCTGACTGATTAGGGGCCCTTTCAAGACCTTGATCCTGCCATAAAGCATCATGTGCTAGGATACAATTAACCCTTACAACAACTATTCTTGCATTTATTCTGTAAAATAACAGATTTATGAGATGTACAGTTACTTTAGTGCACTAATAAATGCTCTGCAGCTGTCATGACAAAAAACACTTACATTGGCACAAATACATACACTTATTTTGTATGGAGATCCAACAGAGAGGACCAAGTGCTTTGGAGTCCTCTGACCCAGAAAGGTGCTACACAAGTGCAGGTCATTAATGATTTATTCATCACATCTCAGTCACTTTCCTTCCTCCCAGAAATTAGACATTTTCACCTTAGTTTAGGGAACACAAATTAACCATTAATTAGCTGCCAATTAATATGCATATTAGTGGACTATTAAGTCTGAATTAGTTATTAAGCTAATATTAGGTGAGTATTATCAATGCTGTAATTCTAATATCAATGGACCATAAATTAAGAGTTTTATCAAAATAAGCCATTCATAATAGTTTGTTAACTGAAAGTAAATGGTTTGTTGCTGATTAATGCACACACTAATTAGCTCAAATCAATATGCGGCTTTTAAAGAAGTAATTCAAGGGGAATAGTTATTCCACATTAATAACCAAAAATATTATGTTCTGGTATTATGTAAATAAACACCAAACTCCACATGTTAATAGAGCCTAAACAACGATCAATTAACCACTTGTAAGCAAGAATATGTTCCCCATTCTAAAGTCAGATTTTCTTCATACCTAATTACTAGTAAATTAGTATTAATTAACCACTTAAAGGCAAGACTATGTTCCCCTTGAATTACTTCTTTAAAAGTCACATATTGATTTGAGTTAATTAGTATGTGCGTTTATCAGAGGCAAACTATTTACTTTCAGTTAGCAAACCATTATGAACGGCTTATTTTGATTAAACTCTTAATTTATGGCCTGTTTGTGTTAGAATTACGGCATTAGTAATAAGCTGTTAATAAGTGCTTACTAATGACTAGTTCAGTCTTAGTAGTCCACTAAAATGCATCTTCATTCGCAGCTAATTAATGGATAATTTGTGTTCCCTAAACTAAGGTGTAACCCAGAAATTTCCAGAACTCTTATTGTGGAAACACATTTAAAGGAGAAATAGTGGTGACCCAAAAAATGGAGGTTTTTTCTTACCACTGACACATTTTCAAAGTTTTTTCAATCCAACGTGAGCTGTATGTCATGGTTATTCTAGTGTAAGGAGGCAACAAAAAAAAATCTTAACTCATAATTGTTGGCAATAATGTCAATACTAAGCGCATCATTTCTTCGCAATATGGAACTTAAAAATGCTTTATATTTCTAAAAAGGAAAGAAACTAAACAAATCACGTGCACACATACTTTGAGGTCTTTTATTTGTTTGTTTTGTTTATTTACTGTAACACACTAAACTAATAAACGTGCCAACAGACTTGAGATTTCCATCCTAATAGGGGACTTTTCATAAGCGTTAGAAGGACAGGTTGTGTTCATTGCACCAGCCTGTCTGATGATGATGCGTCACTGACACATAGTACGCACTTGAAATTTTTATTATTATTTTTTTACAAACACGGTGCATGCTAATAAGAATAAACTCATGTCAAGAAAGAAACATTTCATTTCTGTGACACCAAAGAGCGAGTCCTTACCTAACACGCGTTTCGGGTCTTTCCCTTCAAAAGGTCTCTAATTTCTTCCAGGAAAAAAAAAGCGATCAAAAGAAATAATCCCTCGTGTGTTTAAAGCTCTCAGCCTCCCAGTCAAACCGCCTTCTGCTCCTGATTGTTTCTGCAGCAGCAGCAGGGACCTGAGCGCGTCATGGAGCGCAGCGACATCCCCAATCCAGAAGTCTGCTGGAACAGAGCAGACTCAGTGCTGTGACGTTAATGAAAAAGACCTGTAGCCCTGGTTGCGTCAGAACACTGACGTGTTGCGCTCCTGTCTCTTTTGTGTGTTAAAGCCTTTGGGGAGAAATGAATTCAAACCTGTAATACAAAACCAAATTGTGCAGATCCTGTTTCTGACATGGTTTTGGGGACGAGTTTAACCCAAGACATGCAGAATTCCCCAATTAGAAAAATCAAAGAATTTTATTTTATTTTTTATTGGGAACTGAGGGCACACTGGATAAGGTCCTGGGGATTGCAACAGAACCGCAGCGTGGGAAACTGGGGGCTGAGGAATTGGGTAGGGTAGGTGGAGTGCCGGGGTGAATCCAAGAGGGGGTGTCCAGGAGAGGGGGCGCGAGGAGAGCGGGCCGGCAGGGAGGAGAGGAGAACGGTGAATGCTGCGTCCAGGAGATTTATGGGGCACAGGTGAGTAATCCAGCGGGATCATGGAAATGTCCAAGTAGTCAATCAGAGAAGCTCCAGAAGCTTCAGAAGTCCAAGGAGATCCTGAGGAGTCAAGGTAAGGTCCACAAACGATCCAAAAATCCTGGGAACAGGTAAACACAACAAGTATATCCATAAGGGTTCTAAAATCCAAAAATCACTAGAGTTAACCTGGAGACTCAAAGAGCTGGAACTACCAAGTTGTAGTTAATAATCCGGCATCGAGATGTGTCCTCCTCCTCCTCGTATAGCTGGACCCGCTGATTGTTAATGAGCAGCAGCTGGAGCCTCCCTCTCCTGAAACACAGCAGCTCAAAGATGGAACAAAAATGAGAGGAGCACTCACCCTGGCACGTGACAGTTTCACACAACTGAACGCGCAGATTCCAGTTCAGTGTAGCCGCTCAACAAATGGGACGCTTTTGCACTTCCTCTATCATTAAGGGAGTGCCTAATCAATTTCTATAACCTCTTTTTCAACAGTTAAATAATACACACACACACACACACACGCACACACACACACAATGGAATATTATGCATGTATAGTTCACCTACACAGTTAACAGTGAAAAACAAACATGCACAAATTGCAGGAAAAATAAAATAGCATTTGTGAGGGATGAGGAGTTACAAATTACTTTGTGTCCAAAAGATATTTTCCAACAGTCTTAGTTAACCGCCCAGCCACCAAAAAGAAGTTTGCTTTAAAGAGCAAGTCATCCACAAATCAAGCTTTGTTTGCTGATTAACTATATAAATGAGTGTCTAATAGTGCAGTAGATGTGTAGTTAATATTTTGGTATTTAGTGCATCTTATTTAAAATAAACATACATATTCTACCTAAAACAGCCAGTGTAGCACCCTCTTCAGGATACAAGTCTTTACTACATCACATTTGATTCAGCCATCGCTATTGGCTAAGCGGTGATTTTTTACTTTAGCCAGTGTTTCTGATGTGGCTGCACTGCACTGTAGCTGAGTCTTGGCTACGCCTCTGGCCCTAACTCACTCACGAGCCAGTATGAAACAATATGGCTTAGAACCACTTGCCTCTTCAAAGGGTTCAAATGAAGTATTTCTATTTCAGTTGAGGTTGATCAAGCCTCGAAAGCTGGTGCTACTAATTCCCACAGGTGTTCAAACTTTTCTGGATTACTTACAACCCCCTCTGTCTGCATAAAAGTACTATTAGAACATACTGTGGTATCACCCTCGTGAGCATCAGTTGAACAGTATTGTACTGCAGGTAATAGTGTTGTAATGAAACTGAAACATTACAACGTTATTGAAAATGACCAATAAGAAGTGGTGATTCCATATAAATATGAAATATCAACCTGGTTGATCTTTGAATGTTTAATCAGAAGATTATAGGGTTCTTTACTTCTTCAGGGACCATAAACACACAGTATTAATTCAAACAGTCAGGTATATAGTTTAAAAAAAGAATTTTATTCTTTTTCTTAAACAAATGATTGTACAAGACAAGATATGAATAATGAGATGTGGTGTAATGGATATGGAGTGATTTAATGTGATGCGTGTAATGTTGTAATGGAAGCTAGATGTTTTAACAAAACCATCTTTTGTATCTGAGAGAATTTGTGCAGTCTGGGTCGAAAAAACTTTTGTTTGTTTATAACTAGAGAGTTGTTTATTTAGACTCATCAGAGTCCAGTGTGCAGGCGTACGATACCATTGGTATGAGCTGCTCTCAGCGGTCCGGAAGGGGCGGTCCGAGTGGTGAGGTCACCGGACGTTGAAACCACAATACTCAGAGATTAGTAGCTTCCTCTGAGTTCAGCTTCACTGGCCATGAGATGCAACCCGGGGTCTGCAGGTTAGATGTCTGAGTTGTGAAGTAGCTCTGAAAAGAGCTGTTTTCTCTGTAAATCACTCGCAGCATTGCAGAAAGTCTTGGACTGGAGGTCAAAGGAGATGGTTTTCAAAAGGCTTCTGCCCCGATTTGGCCGAATCGGGAGTCAGCTAGAAACTGAACTAATCGGGAAGTAATTCTTGTTCTAATTAACTCATTGCTTATAAATTCTGGCACATTCTGGCAAATCAGAATATGCCATGTCCTGAGGGCTTACCAAAACATTTTCAGAAGACATGCCTTCTTAAGATGCAAAGGTGTGTAACACTTTGAGAATGAGAATGTTTTAAAACACTTATGTGAGGTGAATATTAACATTAATAAGTATCTTATTGTAATGTGTATGATTGTGTATATTTATTAACTTGTTAAATCAAACACATACTAATCCGATGTAGATAAGATCTGAAATTGATCATTGTAAGAGCAATTTTCATTTTAAAGTCATTATGGTTAAAGCACATATTATTCGAACATTTGATTTAAACATCTTGTTCATTCAACAGATATGACTATTGAGACTTTTAACCTGTAAAGTTATTCATAATTCCAGATGACTTTCCTCAGAGTGAGGAATGCTGAAGTCTGCAAGAGGCCTTGAGTGATTTTGTTGTCTTCTTGTATGCAAACAAGCACTGAGCAGGACCTTCTGGATTTGAAGGCCAGATAGAGTGGGTTATGTCTGCAAATCAGAATCAGAATCAGAATCAGAAAAGGTTTATTGCCAATGTCAATGAACAAGCAGTTCACAAACTAGGAACTTGTTTCGGTACTAATGTGCCACATATAACATGAATAATAAATTTCAGAAATAGAATAAGCAGAATAAAATATAATAAAACTAGCATAAAACATTCAGCTATAAAAAAGGCAGGTAGTGGTAACATGGCCGATAACGTGACGTAGTGTCGAGTACAGAAGACGAGCATGGTTGTGTGATTATAAGCTATTTACAAGTCTAACGGCAGATGGAAAGAAGCTGTTCTTATGGCGGGAGGTTCTGGTCTGGATGGACCGTAACCTCCTGCCTGAGGGAAGCGGCTCGAAAAGTCTGTGTCCTGGGTGAGAAGGGTCAGCTGCAATCCGGCCTGCACGCCTCCGAGTTCTGGAGACGTACAGGTCCTGGAGAGATGGAAGGCTGCAGCCAATCACCTTCTCAGCGGAGCGCACAATGCGCTGCAGTCTATGTTTGTCCCTCACCGTGGCTCCAGCGTACCACACAGTGATGGAGGAGGTGAGGATGGACTCAATGATGGCCGTGTAAAACTGCACCATCATCTGGGTCGGCAGCTTGGCCTTTTTCAACTGCCGCAGAAAGTACATCCTCTGCTGGGCCTTTTTGATCAGGGAGCTGATGGATGGCTCCCACCTAAGGTCATGTGTGATGGTGGTTCCGAGGAAGCGGAAGGAGTCCACAGTGGTGACGGGGGTGTCCGTCAGGACGAGGGGGAGAGATGGGGCTGTGACTTTCCTGAAGTCCACAATCATCTCCACTGTCTTCTGAGCATTGAGCTCCAGGTTGTTGCTGCTGCACCAGTACGCCAGCCGTTCCACCTCCCTCCTGTAGGCGGACTCATCACCGTCAGAGATGAGCCCAACGAGGGTGGTGTCATCCGCAAACTTGATCAGTTTAACGGAGTCATGGCTCGAGGTGCAGCAGTTTGTGTACAGGGAGAAGAGCAGAGGAGACAGTACACAGCCCTGTGGGGATCCTGTGCTAATTGTCGGAATGGTGGAGACATTCTTCCCCAGCCGCACGCACTGCCTTCGGTCCGTCAGGAAGTCAGTGATCCACCTGCAGGTGGAATTGGGTATGTTAAGCATGGAGAGCTTGTCCTGGAGCAGAGCAGGGAGGATGGTATTGAACGCAGAGCTGAAGTCCACAAACAGGATCCTAGCGTAGGTTCCCGGGGAGTCCAGGTGCTGCAGGATGAAGTGGAGGGCCAGGTTGATGGCGTCGTCTACAGACCTATTAGCTCTGTATGCGAACTGCAGAGGGTCCAGGAGGGGGGAGGTGAAGGACTTGAGATGAGGGAGGACCAGGCGCTCAAAAGACTTCATGACTACAGACGTCAGCGCCACAGGCCTGTAATCATTCAGTCCAGTGACATGGGGTTTCTTAGGCACAGGAACAATGGTGAACAGCTTAAAGCAGGCTGGAACATGGCAGGACTCCAAGGAGATGGTAAAGATGTCCGTGAAGATTGGAGACAGTACCTCTGCGCAGTGTCTCAGGGTTGCGGGCGAGACACCGTCCGGGCCCGGGGATTTCCGAGGGTTTTGCTTACGGAAAACCCTGAGCACATCCTTTTCTTTCACTGAGATGGCAATGGAGGGGGAGGGGTGGTCAGCGGGGACTGTACTATTCACAGTGGTGAAGGTGGTGGGGGAGGCATGTGACACCAGAGTGGCTGAAGAAACCTGTGCAGTAGGGGGTGTGGGGGATGGGTGTTGCACTTCAAACCTTGCATAAAAGGAGTTGAGTCGTTCAGCCAGTTGTTGGTCGTCAGCAGCATGTTGGGCTCTGGGCTTGTAGTTTGTGATCTGCCTGAGCCCTCTCCAGACAGAGGCGGAGTCATTGTTAGAGAACTGCTCCTTTAGTCGCTTGTTGTACAGAGATCTCGCCTTCTTCAACTCTTTTGAGAACCTGTACTTAGCGCCCTTGTAGCTCTCTCTGTCCTTAGCTCTGTGAGCTGCTTCTTTCTCCCTCCTCAGCTCCCTCAGTTTGGGTGTGAACCAGGGCTTATCGTTGTTAAAAGTGGCCCTGGTTTTAGTTGGAATAATGCTGTCCTCACAGAATTTTATGTATGATGTCACAGTGTCTGTATATTCATCCAAGTTGTCTGTGGCAGATCCAAACACGTTCCAGTCTGTTGTGTCCAGACACACGCGAAGCTCCTCCACAGCCTCGCAGGTCCACTTCTTAGAAGTCCTCACTGCAGGCTTGGAGAGCTTCAGCCTCTGCCTATATGAGGGAATGAGGTGAATCATGGCGTGGTCTGAGAAGCCGAGAGCAGCACGCTGCACGGCTTGATAAGCTCCACTGACTGTGGTGTAGCAGTGGTCCAGCGTGTTCTGCTCTCTTGTCGGGCATTTAACAAACTGTCTGTACTTAGGCAATTCCTGGCTCAGATTTGCCTTGTTAAAGTCCCCGAGGATAATAACTAGAGAGTCCGGAAAGGTCTGTTCCACACTTAGGATCTGCTCCGCGAGCGCACGTTGTGCCTCGCGCACGTCCGCGCCAGGCGGGATGTAAACAGCGGCCAGAATGAATGAAGCGAACTCACGTGGGGAGTAGAATGGCTTACAGTTTATGAAGAGGAATTCCAGGGCAGGAGAACAGTGCTGGGAAATCACAGTCAATAAATCAATCAATCAATCAAAGCTTTATTTATAAAGCGCCTTCCGCAACCCTGTCAGGAAGCCCAAAGCGCTGAACATGGTACAGTTCAGTAAATATATTGAATAAATCAACAATAAAAGAAATTCAAATTACAAAATACAAAATGGAAATTACAAGATAGATGAAACATTCTGGTAAAGGACAAATGTGTGAAACACATTTGGATTGAGTGGATGGATTGAGTGTACCAATGAAAACTGGAATGGATTCAACATAAAAGAGGGCCAAAATCAAACATGTTCTGGAAACGCCAAGCGGAGGAGGTGTGTTTTTAGGTGATTCTTAAAGACTGGCAGAGAAGGGGACAGCCTAACTGAGGGTGGCAACTGGTTCCAGAGTGACGGTGCTAGGACTGAGAAAGCCCGGTCCCCACGGGTACGACACCTAGACCGAGGGACAGCGAGCAGGCCTTGGTCAGAGGAGCGCAGAGCGCGTGATGGGGAGTGTCTTTTCAGGAGTGTGGCTAGATAGGGGGGACCACCACCCTGGAAGAAATGATAAACAAAGACGAGGATTTTGAATTGTGAGCGATAGCAAATCGGAAGCCAGTGCAGAGAGGCCAGAACCGGACTGATGTGGTCCCGTTTCCTGGTCCCAGTCAGGAACCTGGCAGCACTGTTCTGCACAACCTGTAGGCGATGCAGTGTTGACTGACACAACCCTGCATATAGAGAGTTGCAGTAGTCAAGCCGAGAAATAACAAAGGCATGCAGTACCCGCTCCAGGTGGGCTCTCGACAGCATAGGCTTGATTTTAGCAAGGCGTCTCAGGTGAAAGAAACTGGACCGGATCACAGAATTGATGTGAGCGTCAAATTTAAGTCCTACATCAAGTTTCACCCCCAAACTGGTAACAACAGTCACATCCGAACACCAGGCATTGTTGATGTAGAAGCAGACACCTCCACCTTTTGTCTTTCCTCCGGATAAGACCCGCTGTCTGTCGGCGCGGATGAGCTGGAATCCCTCCAAATGGAGCGCGCAGTCCGTGATCTGCTCGCTGAGCCATGTTTCCGTAAAGCACAAGACAGAAGAGGAAGAAAAGTCTCTGTTCCGTCTCATCAGCAACGCCAGTTCATCCGTCTTGTTACTGAGTGAGCAGACATTTGAGAGGAAGATCCCAGGTAAGGGCGTACGTGAGCCGCGTCTCCGTAGACGCACGAGCACTCCCGCACGTTTACCTCTTCTACGGCGTCTCACTTTCTTAATAAAAAAGTGGACCAAATCCGCCACACTCACTAAAAAAACTGGAAGTAGGTCCGTCGGTGTTGATGATCTGACCCTTAGAAGCTCTTCACGGGTGTAAGAGCACGCTGACACACAATTAACAGACAAAAACAAACAAAACACGACGCACGTTAGCACCAGGGCGACCATCCTCGGCGCCATCTTGGTCTTGGTCACACTAGATAACCTTAAATGAAAGGTTATCTAGTGTGGTCAATATGTAGGTGAAAATTTACCCCTTGGATACGTAACAGTGTGTTGCTACAAAAGTGGTGAGAAAAAAGCAATCAACAATGAAAGAGACACAGACCATCATAACACTTAAAAATGTAGGTCTTTCTTATAGAGAAATTGCAAAGAAGTCAAGGTGTCAGTGAGTACAGTTTCCTTCACCATCTAAAGGCAGTCAGAAACTGGAGCAAACTCTGACAGGTAGAGGTCTGGCAGACCCAAAGCCACAACTGAATCAGAGGACACGTTTCTGAGAGTTTACAGCTTGCGTGATAGGTGGCTCACAGGACAACAGCTTCAAGCACAGCTTAATAGTGGTCATAGCAAGCAAGTCTCAGTTTCAGCTGTGAAGAGAAGACTTCGAGCTGCAGGTTTGACAGGATGAGTTGCAGCAAGAAAGCCACTGCTAAGACATCAGAATAAGATAGAGTCTTGCCTGGGCCATGAAACGCCACCATTGGTCTACTGAAGACTGGAAGAAGGTATTATGGACTGATGGATCCAAATTTGAAATATTCGGTTAATAACGCAGGATCTTTGTATGGCGTCGAGTAGGTGAAAAGATGGTTCCACAGTGTGTGGCATCATCTGTCAAAGATGGAGGAGGTAGTGTGATGTCTGGGGCTGTTTTGCTGGATCCAGGGTCGGTGACTTGTACAGAGTAAGAGGCACCCTGAACCAAATGGCTACCACAGCATTCTCCAGTGCCATGCAGTACCCCTGGCGCTTAGTTGGGTACACACACACACACACACACACACACACACATATATATATATATATATATATATATATATATATATATATATATATATGTGTGTGTGTGTGTGTGTGTGTGTGTGTGTACGCCATGATACGCTGGTGTATCATGGTGTATGATGAAATGATGCAATACGGCAGCTTTGATTTTCATGCTAAGATTTCACCAACTTCATTTACTCCAACATTTATAACATATATTTCCTTATTTTGCACAACTAGTCAACTATGTCATGTGAGAGTTTCGTAAACCCATCATTAGTTTTAGAGATCCAACTGTAGACGCGAGGAAACACCAAGCAGTTTTCCAGGTTTGCAGCCACAAAGTTTGGTGTCTCACAGACCCACAATGATTGGTCAGACGGTGCCATGGCTCAAACCGGAGCGACTTGATCTCTGAGGATTGGTTGGATGAAATCTTGTAATTCAAGGAGTCTATGACAAGGCACAACGACATCATTTATGATGTGAGTGGAAGTGTCAAAATATATTTGCTGTATAAATAATTGCACACATATAAACATACAGAGTAACACTAGCTTTTGTTATTTTGACAACGGTGATTTACCTTAAATGGAACCAGATATGTTTTTGTCATGGATGAAATAAAATGTCAGAAACAGAGAGAAAACACAAGGACACCACAGAAACTGTAATTTGGTAACTCAATGTATTCACATTACAACATCCACATAGTTCAGTTTGTGACATTGTCTATGATCTTCAAATATATTCACTGTATGATACATAATACCAATATAGGCACTTCCAGTAAGTCCGGCAATATTGAAGCTACAGTATAGTGTCTAAATTACAAAATGGTAAAAATAAATAATGCATATCTAAAAGAATTGTTTGTTATTTTAAAATGTCTTTACTGTACAGCATTTATGTATATTGTACAAAATCGACCCCTGCAGGAATTTAATGTACTGTCACAAATACTATGAGTTTAGACAAATCCCTCCTTTAGTACCTGTATGTGTGTGGTGAATAAAGGTATAATCATAAGTCAACCATTTATAAAAATACTCATCTCATTTTGTTTACATAATGGTAAAGCGTGTTTGGTTCCCGCGGTTACCGTTATCTTACATGCAGGAATGATAGGATTACAATAACAAAATTATAGCAATCTAAAATAATAGATGTACACATATCAGCTCAAATGCTGATTCAAAACAAATGCATTTTTGTAGGAATGGTGTGTACAATATTCACTCCAAAAATATTTTAAAAGTGTGGTCATAAACAAATTAACACTGTTGACAGAATCTGAATGCTTCTTTTTACAGCGAGCAGATCAAAGAGGATCACCAGGAGCAAAAGGAGAATAACAACTTCAGCTGAGCGTGTGAGAAGAATTATCAAACTACTGACTGCATCTCGCTGACCTTCATCACAGCACCGTCCTCCTCCTCCCCAAAGATAACTAAGCAGGACAGTCGCATTAGAAGACTGGAAGATTCAAACATGCTTCCTCTCTAACACACACACACACACACACACACACACACACACACACACACACACACACACACACACACACACACACACACACACACACACACACACACACACACACACACACACACACACACACACACACACACACACAGACACTTTATGTGATACATTAACAAAGATGGAGCTCTGAAGTGTTTTGTTTTTTCTGATGCAGTTATATAATTACACAGCCTGGAAGCTTGGATTGGAAACGAGGAAAGCCCTCCCTCATGCCAGTGTGTTATCCTGAATAGTCTTGTAACAAAATCAGATTTTTATGAAAGTTAAATGAAAGGCGTGACTGCATTGACGTTTAAAAATCATTGAGTTAAACAGATGAAAGAGACACAAAAATGCTTGCTGATAATTAGATGCAAAGCATGAGGCAAATACTGAGTGATTTAATAGATTCCAACAGAAGGTTTGTGTGTGTGTGTGTGTGTGTGTGTGTGTGTGTGTGTGTGTGTGTGTGTGTGTGATTCAGAGTCAGTAGATCAGACATTTACTGAGCTTGTGTGTGGCCTCCTTCCCATCTAACACACACACACACACAGTAGCAGAGCCAGGGCAGCAGCAAATAAGCTATTGTGGACATATCGCTTTATTCAGTGCAACTATGGGACCATTGTGTGAGGAGGAAGTATGTTTGAACACACACACACACACACACACACACACACACACACACACACCACTCCTCTAGCTCTGGATCATACACACATGCTGACCTATGGCATGGTATTACTATTTCTGAGGTTTTTTTTTATAAAGTCAACTTACAGGAGAAAATTTTGATAGTTTTTTACGTAGGACATGATTTCTGTCTGCTGTTCTTCCCCTCAACACAGTTATGTTACATTTTGATCTGCATGGAGAAGAAAATTTAAAATGTTTTGAGTCCTGCATCTCTTCACAATGGCTTACTTTCCATGCCCATCCTCACACACCCATTCATAGCAGTTGTGGCTTTTGAAGAAAGAATTTCTGAAAATAATATTGCTGAAGATACTTTTAAAATAACACAGCAGAAAACAATCCATAAAAAGAGGTGATTCACATCTTTGCAAATGGATTTGTGGGAAGATTAAGGACGGTTACACATTTGGATCTGATCAGATAGATGAGCAAACAGCTAGTCTCTGAAAGGTTAGTCATAAAGTGGCTTCAAACTATTCCAATTAAAAACATGCATGTGTTATATTCCTTGGTCAATTTTGCCAATTTAACACAAAATCCTCTATTCCGTTTTTCCTTTTCTATTAAATGTTGCCTGTGAGTTTTGACCATTATGTCAGCTGCAAGGGAATGAATGTGTCCCTGAGGTGTTTGAAGAATCGTTAAGACTCCCTGCAAAGATCTCAGAAAAGTGTTGATTTGTGTGTTTCATCCACATCATCAAAAGGTTCCCCAATTGCTCTCACAAACCTCTGGTTTTCCTGAGGGTAAAGGTCGATATTTGTTTGCTGTTATTGGATGACAAAAAGCAAAATTAGTTCCAAACACAGAAGTCTGAGTCCAACTTCACAGGCTAGGTAACAGACAGATATCATCACTGGCAAAAACAAATAAGAAACGATTCTGAAGCTCTCATTTCCTACGCAAAAAATATAAACTTTTATTGAATTAGGTCAATGACACGTCTCCATACACTTTTAGAACGTGATCAACTAGTTCAAAGTGTAAAACATCACATATCCTTTATTTAAAAATGTTCAGTTTGTCTTTTATGGTTGAAAATCAAATTTTCTTGAGTGGACTATAACTTTTGGTTCTTTATTTTATTATCATTATTTTCAATTATTAGCCTGCAAGTGTTCATCTCACGTATGAGCTGTTTAACTTGGGTTTACTGTTATCGCAAAAGCAAATAATATGTAAAAATTAATGTATGGCTCCTGGAAGAGAATTGTGTCTTTGATCACACATAATAAAACGTGCAGAAACACAAACTGAGCCTGCGGTCTCTGCACGACATCTCCATGTGAATAAGCTTTAAGCATGTCTTTTGGCAACAAACACAAGATACATTATGCATTAAAATGAGATTTTGCATGCTAAAGACCCAAATGTTAGGACACAATTTTGTCAGAAGATGTTCCTTGTTTGATTTACTCCCTTTAGAGTTTATGTGTAGAAAAACAAAACAGTGTAGCACAGTTTAGACCTGGAAAAAGAGGTCAACGTTGCAACACAAACACCAGAAATGGTGAGGTTTATATAAATGATCGCATTCAGGAAACCATAATGTTTAAACTGGCTGCAGATTTCTGCAGTCCTGTGTTAACATGCTGGGATGAGACCTGTGCAACTGCTTGTCTTCGATGTCTGACAGAAGCAAAACTGTCTGAATCTCAAAGTCCTTGAATAATCCTTTATTGCAATGTGAAAAGGCCCATTTAAAGTGTTTGGTGAAACCGCGCTTAGATTAAATATTTAAAGCACAAAATGTCCCACCCTGTTTGTTTTTCTCTGTGTAGGCACACATTCCCCAAACATCTACAGTGTTGTGTCTAAATAATGTGCTGGCAGAGAAAGGTGTCTGTTAATTGGAAAAGAAAGGAAACAGGAGTAATTGTTTACATCCTAGTCCTGATTGGTTCCATATCTTTCATTAAAGGAGGGACGGGGTGGTGAAGGAGGAAGAGAGGAGTTTTATTGTGGGTCCCTGTCCTCTAGCTCTCCTGCAGGTTTGCAGTCTTCTCTCTGACACCAGTCTGGGTCCTCCACTTCCTCCTCAGGATGCTCTCCTTCCACCTGCTCCTCTCTGCTTCCTGATTCCTCCTCTTCCTCATCAATAGCCAGGATTGGCTCTGCTACATTGTTTAAATGGACTGACTCTGCTGCTTGGTCGTTTTTCTTGTTTTCCTCTTCGATCACCTTCTTCCACATCTCATGGTTCTCCACCAGATGCTGAGTGATGTGACAAAACACTCTTCTCCTTTTTTTGGGTGCTGCTTTCTCTGAAAGGGGGGAAAAATCACAGAATTCAAAGGCTTACAGGTGCTCTTATTAAGTATTTTGAGTTCTCAACCACAACTTTTTTGAAAAGGCTAGTTCGTCAAGTAAATTCACATAGTTTGTTTTGTGCATTTGCATTGTGGAAATACCAAAGAAGTCACCCAGGTTCCACTTTTGCGTACTCGCCTGCATTCCTATGTCCTATTGATTTATGACTGTAAGAAAATAACTTCACTATTGCAACATCAGCCTATTTTGTTGGAGATCACAATCTATTTACCAGAGTTTCATATAAGTGGACATTCATTTCTCACATTTCTCAAAACACTGTTGAAACGCAAGGCAGATACACTCAAAAGTGAGTTGGAGGAGTCACATGTGTACCGGTCCCTATTTTAAATGTCTTTTATCCAGTTAACCAATGTTGCTCTCCCACACGAAACCAATACACTCTAGCTAACAATAAACAAAACTAAATAAATTATAAAAGCTGCTCTTTGGTTTCTCATCATGTCTTGTTAATTGATTTACTTTCACCTGACAGACAGTAATGCTTTTGCAACTGTCTGTGTCCATTTTTCAGCTGCATTAGAAACATACTTCACTGAATCACTTAATGTGTCTCTACAATCAATAGGTTTTAAGAGTTAGCCTTATTTTAGAATGGCAGCACAGCTAATTGATCTTATGTTTATGTTTATGTATTTAGTAGATGCTTTTGTCCAAAGCGACTTACTTCTTAGAACACACCAAAACAGTTATATTCAATTACCAGCTTGCCTAAAAGGCCGCAGCTAGACTTCTGATGAGAATTAAAAAGAGAGATCATATCTCTCCTGTCTTAGCTTCCCTACATTTGGCTGCCTGTTAAATTCAGAATAGAATTTAAGATCCTTCTTCTCACATATGATAAATGATAAATGACCCGCACTTGTATAGCGCCTCTCAGAGTAAGGGCTCCAAAGCGCTTTACACTACAGTGTATCATTCACCCATTCACACACTGATGGTGATGAGCTATGATGTAGCCACAGCTGCCCTGGGGCTCACTGACAGAGGTGAGGCTGCCGAGCACAGGCGCCACCGGTCCCTCCGACCACCACCAGGAGGCAAGGTGGGTTAAGTGTCTTGCCCAAGAACACGACAGCAGAATTCTTTGTCCGGAGCCTGGATTGAACCTGCAACCTTCCGATTACTGGACAACCCGCTCAACCCGTTGAGCTTGTGCTGCCCCCTCTTAATAATCAAGCTCCACCATACATCAGTGATCTAATTGTTCCATATGTTGCTAACAGAGTCCTTCACTCTCACACCGGGGACACACCGAGCCGCCGAAGTGCCGCGAAAAGGGGACCGCCTTCATTCGGCGCCTTGTTATCCTATTCTATACACCACATGGGCCGCCGAAGCGCCGCAAAGCGCCGGCGCTCCAGCCCACACCTTGCAGCGATCGTTTCGGCGTCTGCTCTATTTTTTTCGCGAGCCGCGGGTGAACCGCGTCAATTCGGGCAGGAAGTCAAACATAAGAGGCAGGCCGGTAAATTTAACAAAATAAAGCATTTCAAAATGCAATTCCGCGATAGTCAAATGTGTTTGTAAACAGACACTGCATAAAAACCACACACACACACACACACACACACACACACACACACACACACACACACACACACACACACACACACACACACACACACACGCACGCACACACACGCACACACACACACACACACACACACACACACACAGAGCGAACTTGTGTATGTGTGTGACCACGTGAAGGGGGTGTGGTTTTGGGAAAAGGCAGAAAGTCGTAGGCCAGCTATTAACAACTGGTTCACACCATAGGTTCACACACACACGGAAAAACACATACACAAACAGCAAGGGGGAGGGGGGTGTAGAGGAAAAGAGCAGAGAAAAGGCAGAGAGGAAATGGAGGACACCAAGTGGTTAAAAGAGAAACTACGAGGTGTGCCTCGACCAGAGCGGAGAAACAAGCATCTGGTCTGAACTAAGGAGCAGCGAGCAGCGGCCGAATTTCGTGAGCGCTTCGGGGGCCGGCGTCTCCCCGGCCTCAGACTGCAGGTTTACTGGTGGTTCCTAGCACATCTAAAAATAGGATGGGAGGCAGACCTTTTAGCCATCAGGCTCCTCTCTTGTGGAACCAGCTCCCAGCTTTAGTCCGTGAGGTGGACACCTTGTCTACTTTTAGCTGTAGTTGTTTCCCTGCTCCAACACATCGGAATTTCATCAGGAGGTGATTAAAAGCCTTGTGCAGAGCCTGATGAGCTGATAAACAGGTGGTTTAACCATTGAATCACGTGTGATGGAGCATATAAACTGTTAAATAATATAGCAGGGGTGGTTTTAAGGGGTGGTGTAGCTCAGGAGTTAGAGCGGGCTGTCCAGTAATCGGAAGGTTGCAGGTTCAATCCCGGCTCCGATCAGAGAATGCTGCTGTTGAGTCCCTGGACAAGACACTTAACCCACCTTGCCTGCTGGCTGTGGTCGGAGAGACCGGTGGCGCCAGTGCTCAGCAGCCTCGCCTCTGTCAGTGTGCCCCAGGGCAGCTGTAGCTACATTGTAGCTCATCCCCACCAGTGTGTGAATGGGTGAATGACTGATTGTGTTGTGACACACCTTGGGGGGGGGGGGGGGGGGGGGTTGTAGAACCCTAAGAAGACACTATACAAATACAGACCATTTACCACGTTTTGGTTCTTTCCCTGCTTCAACACTCCTGAATCAGTATTTGAATCACATGTTCAGCAGCCTGGTAATCGCCTGCTGGTGAAAATCAGGTGTGTTAAAGCAGGGAAACACCAAATCCTTGCAGGATAGCGGTCCCTGATGGACCAGAATTCCCACCCGACATACAGGAAAATGTTCCTCAAATACCAGGATTCGGCACCTCTCATTTATAAGAAAAAAGAAATTCAGCAAAGCATTCCCAGTAAGAAACAAAGTAAAACAATCCAGCAGAACAAATAGTGATAGGACTATAGGCCAGGAGAAATAAGTACCAGAAGTACATGTTTTACACAACAAAGTTGTGCATTCATGTTAATTTTGCTTATCGATCATGTTTCTTGGTCGGTGAAACGCTCAGTTCCCTTGTTTTCTCTGTATAAACACAATAGCCGTGATACATCAAATCAAATCAAATGAAAGTCACTTTGTTTATCCGTTAGGAACTTTGATTGCAGATAGAGTGTCAGCACAGCCCATAAATACAGCATCAAAACACACATACACATACAATCAATTTAAAAGAATACTCACACCTGCATACACTTAATTAAAAGGAATTTAAAATGGATCCTGATTATTTTATTGAGCTTGTTATGCTGAGCAAGTGTGAGTGAACCAAACCAGGCAGAAATGCTGGATGTGAGAATGGGTTCGATAAAGCATCTATAGAAAGCAGCAGGGATGGATTGGAGGACCTGAAGTTTGCAAAGTTTACAGAGAAATAGAGGCACTGATGACACTTAGCAAAAATGTGTTCTGTATTGTGTTGGAATGTAAGTTTGTCATCCATTATGCAACCGAGGTATCTGTATGAGTGAACCTTTTCGACTATTTGGCTGTTAACAGTGAGTGCAGGGATGTGATCCTTACGTGAAGCTTCAGAACAGGTGGATTCATCGTCCTCTCCCTCCTCACTCTCCACATTCTCGTGCTCCTCCTCTTCTGGGTCTGGCTCCACCCATCGTCCGGGCACGAGGCTGGCCGAGTCGTAGGAGTTACATAGCGGTCCAACGATGTGTGTGATGAACGACTCCTGAAGTTTGGCCAGCTGCGGTGCTGCCCGATCCATGAAGGGACTGACAGGAAGCCCCAGGCTGGACTCCTCATCGCCCTACATACAGCAGGAGGCATTCATGTAAAAAGGGCTACAAGCTGAACAAATGGAAAGAAAATAACCCAAACCAAGTATAGCTCACATTATATAAAGAGATATGGGATGAGGCTAATGGGATTAAGGCTTTATCACACACTAGATTTTCTGATTTTATTGACTCAGGTTGTTTGGGAACAGTGGAAACTAGCTGACTGGAATAAGCCTATTTTATTATCTAATCTAATATAATTCAGGAGTGAACCCCACATACGTGCAAAAACCCTTTGAAATGAACATGTTCTAATTGCGTCAGGGGTGTTGAATGTTCTTGAAAAGCCTGAAAAAAAGCACAGCATGTGTGACGTGTGTGTGAGGAAAAACATCTATAGCAAGATTTGCTGGTTGTCATGGAAACTGACCTGCCATCCAGTACACTAAAACATATCTGTGCCCCCACGACATCAAGATCTTAATGTAGGATGTAATAAGATTTATAATACCTCTTAATCTTAATCAGGTGTGGAATTTGATTCTTTTTTAAAATCAGAAACGAAGCATGGAAAAGGAAGTGTGAAAATACCAGCATAGTAAGAGAGTGAGATTGAGTTAGTTCCTGTAAGCTGATGTAAGATGAATCTGCTGTGATCTTTAGAATGAGTGAATGAATAAATGAATGAATGAAAGCTTTGTGGGTCATTTTCTGTGGAAATAGGCCCGGGCAATCCATTTTCCAGAGTTAGTCAAAAGAGCGAGGGGGCAGTAAATGGCAGGATTTGGAGGCTTAACCTTACTTCACATTGGAAGCATCAGCGGAGCGAACGGCAGTGGATCGGTTCACCCACGACTTTCACTGAGTGCCAGTACACACCGGGACAATCTCAGCTGTGAAGCGGCTTCTCTGTGCTCCTTGCTGGACTAACAAGTTCACAAAATCCCTTGAGTTTATACCATCCGTGGTTAAACCAAAAAAAAAAAGAAAATCGCGTTTGATATCACTGTTTGATGTCATATGATGTTGTTCCTCTCCACTGCCAGGATAAAAGCCATGAAAAACACACCACTGCACTTCTGGAACAATGCTAGAAGCAAATAAGTCGTTGTTTGTATTGACATAATCTACATAGATGTAAAACTGCATCGCTGCAATAGTCATTTATTTAGAAAAGGGTTTTATACTGAAACTGTGTGTGATTTCCTGTCTAGCCCTATGTTAACTGGAAATTTTCATGTCCCAGAAGTGGCTTGCGGAAAAAACTGAAACCTGATCCTATCAGTAGCTAGCAGAGTAGCATGGCTAGCTGCTTCTGGGACATGCCTGAAGTTTTCTGTGTTGCGGCTGGTTTGAACACCCCCATTGACTATAATGGCTTCTAGTTTGACGTTTTAACATTCCACGCCACTGAGGCTTACATTGTGAAGTAGGGGTTACACATTTAAAGTCGTGACATGCAAACATCTCTGGCTAAAAGCAATGCGACTCTTCCACTGTCTTCGTTCATTGTTATTTTTTGGGTACAAAGTGCAATGTTGATGATTCACGGCTGGATCTTTTCCGTGATGTAATGGAGTTGCTATTGCTAACAATTAGCTTCTACAAGTCGAGACGTTCTCTCTGCTGGCTGCTAAGTCAATGGAAGCTTCTCTGGTCACATGCCAAGGTTGGTGAGCCCATGAATGCAAACATTTCCATGTGATGTAAAATGGACTTTTCTGGTAATTTAAACATTTAATAAGCAAATACATTTTTCCAAGTTTTTGCTTACTGAATTCACAGCTGCAGTTCCTTTTGTCTTTCTGCCATGTTTATTTGCCTGGACTTAACAAAACTCCACTAGATAACAGAATTTGGGTCATCAGAAGATGTAGGAATGCACATCATTCAGAAGTTATGACATCATGGAAAAAATATGCTTGCAAATTGGATTATTAGAATAACTGCACAGGTGTATAGACAATAAAATCGCAGTAAACTTGTGAAATCATGTGATTACATTTGTTTTTTGTATGCCACCCCAATATTACCAATGGAGTCCAATCTGGCCATTATTTACAAAACCTTTTGGAGGCGCTCCTGCTGCTCCACCTGACTAACTGCATACTTGCATCACTTTAAAGCTCTTGTACGCAGAATGCTTTTTAATGCCGCTCCCTAACAGCCCACTGAATGGTTTGTACTTAACAGGTTTAACCACCGACGGCGCAGTAGTACGTCCCACAAGAGTCTGAGCATGTTCTGAATGAGCTGGAGTCAATTAACAGGAAACAAGAGCAACTCAGTGCCAGTGGGGATGTACAACAAAGAAAGTTGTGGGAGGCTGAGGGCATAACTAGGTTATGTCTGCTACTGCAGCAAAGCAAAAAAATATAAATAAATGAGGCTATGGTTACAGTACATATAACAGAATTAGCCTGATACCAAACCCATGCATATTACACAAACTGATTAATCTCACAGCAAAAATGCTGAATCTATAATCCAGCCGATGAATAATTCTTCACTTTCCTCATATAATTGCAGAAGCATAGTCTTTTCCATCTCTATGTGTAAGAGGGACTGAATAAAAAATTAATTAGGAGGGAGCAAAATCAATCATGTGTGAAGGAAAATTGTCTCCATGGAGCAAAAAGTAAAGAAGGAAGAATGGAATTATTGGGTCTGAACTTGTTTCTGTGGATATGGAGACACAGAGAAACACTGATGCAAAACTCAGTGCACTATGTCATGAGAAATAATTGTATCGAGCAGTTTGGCTTTATTTTTTAAATAAGGTGGATCTCTGAGCAGTTTCTGTGTTGTGTTAGCCTACTTTCATGAATTGGCCTCCAGGGTTTCTCAAACCTATAAAAGCATCCTGCTTTTGTATACCGCTCAGATAAATATAGTGAATGATAAATAGACTGCATAAAAAGTATGCTTTCTAGTTTTGCTGACCGTTCAAACTCTTTTTGTGTGAAAGCAGAATTAAATTATTCACACATCACTATATCTTCCTAAAGCTTTGATTTAATGGAGTCTGAAAATTCAGGGATGCGTCTATCCTTAAAAATAGTTCACAAAGTTTTTTTTAAGAAACTTTTGAATTACTTAGTTCTACTCATAAAAAGTATCTTATCTGGTGTTGATGGCTTACTGAATGGCCTCTGTTTGGAGAAGTAGAGTATATATCCAAAGGCTACTGAGTCAAGCTACTACTAAAGTATGCTGTAGTTATCCTATAACACAGTGGCACTCACTCCTGGTCCTGGAGAGCTGGTATCCAGCATCTTTTAGTTTTAACGCTGTTTCAACACATCTGATTCAACCAGCAGGTGATTAGCAGGCTTTGCAAATACCATTCTGTCATTTCAGATGAAGCATGCTCCAGTATTGAGTCTTTCTCTGATTCTTCATACAATTCCAAAAATAAGTAATTAAAACAAATTCATGTGCGTTTCTGTAGAGGATCACAGTGCAGTGAGAGTCAGCAGGTATCCTCAAATAATTTGTCAAATTCAAATTACCTACAAATTGCAGGAAAATGAGTGATAATGATGTCATGTTGGTCCACTGTTAATTTGGCATCTTATTAACGGTTTAGGAGTCAAGAATTTCATTGGTTGTTGAGCCTGGCCTCAAGCTCCAGATATCTAAATCAGCGGTTCCCAAACTTATTTAGCCGCGCACCCCTTTCTATTTCCCGACCATGTCGACGCACCCCCCAGCACCCAAATCAGGGCATGGCAGCTCGCCGCATCTCTGTCTGATCGATGCTTCTGTCTGCTGCACGGGCTGCTGCGTGGGCTGACGTCTTGTGGAGCTCTGGGATGGAAACCTTTCCACCCGGTTCTCCCCAGCGGCAGCTCTGCGCATCTCTGATCGCAGCTGCGCTTGTCTGCTGTGCGGCTGCCAGCTTGTGGAGCTCTCGGGAGACCTCTGTGTTCCACCTGGTTTTACCCAGCGGTCAGCCTGGCGTATCTCTGACTCAGAAGCTATGGTGTTGTGCATAGTTAACTCTGGTTGTAGCTAGGTTGCTACCTCCGTTAGCTTAGCTCCCACCTCCGCGTTAGCTTTGGGTTAGCTTCAGGTTAGCTTGTAGCTAGTTCGACCGGGTGTCGTCAGTTGATCCCAGCCTTACCTCTCTTCCCTTTTGTGGAATTGTCTGGGCTTGACGGACCCTGTGACACGGTCAAAATGGCGATGGTGGCCACCTCCCATTTCTCTTCCAAAACGTGTTATTGGGTCTATGGAAACCCATTGTCCAATATTCATATGTCGATGGTCTGACCTCTGACAGACGCACTCTGAACTTCAGATCTTCAGCACGCTGTTAATAGCCTGACACGTTTAGAATGCTGTCCCACAGTCAGTGTGCTAAAATATTAATATAATAATGCTAAAATGCTCAGATGGGAATCGTGTCTTGATTTATTTAGTTACATCCACAATGTTGTGTGTGTGGGGTTTACAATGTCAGAACACCTGCATGAGACAGGGTGTTAATTACAATCTGCCAGAATGACTCACCACCTTCAGATTTCTCCAACATCGTTAAAAAGGATCAAATACTGAACATGTCTTGCTAGTGACAGCGTGCGCAGGCCAGATCGCTGAAGCTCGGCGCATTATTATTATGAAGCTAGGGCACATGCGGAGGACACACACACACGCGTGCGTGCAAAATATACTACGCTAATGGTGACATATGACAGACTTCTCTGAGCTCAGCAGCCATTACACGTTTCACCTTGCGCACCCCCTAGTGGCAGCTCTCGCACCCCCAGGGGTGTGCGCACCACACTTAAGCCCTTTTCAGATAGGCATTCTGGAACATTTGTGGACAATTCAATCCGGTTTTTAACCGGAACTGTGTTTTCAGACACACCACTTTTGTACTGGAACTTGTCCTTTTGGCTGCCTTCACACAGCAGGGAAAAGTTCCAGATGTCTGAGGGAGGGGGGGGGGGGGGGGTCGGACTTACCGTATGTTAAGCATAATTCTGCGCACACGAAGATGTATAAGAGACCTGGATGATGAAGTTCAATGGTTAAAGGAATCACTGAAGCGGTGTGAAGCGCTCCGTCGCGCGTCTAGACGGTACAGTAGGAGGTGAGCTGCCATGGTTCGTCGCATGCTACAGCAGCGGGCTATCTAGGTGCGCACAGCGTCCCCGGTCCATTCCTCCTCCCCCTCCTCCCTGTCCGGAACTCGAACTCACCAGTCTGAAGCAGCCACCTTGTCCGTAACAAGTCCGGACCTGTTACTAGGGGTGTCGTCCGGTTAAATTACGGAAAACGTTATCCGGATGTTTGTATTCAGACACAAAGGTCTTACGGACAGAGTCCGGAACATTTCCGTTTTTCATGGCCTGTCTGAAGGGGGCTTTAGGGAATCCCTGATCTAAAGGATAGTTTTGGTTAACAGTGGCCCCGCTAACCCTAATAATGTAGGGAGCAGACTGGAGCTAATACAACTAAATTCTGATCTTTAAAATGCATTGGAATATAGACTGACCTCATAACTGAGACCGATTGTGACACTTTTAGTTTTAAAATGACAGCAACGATCCTCTGTTGTAGTTGTGCTCCAACTAGCTGTTAGCACATCAATCATAAAAATGCAAACCTTTATTTTGTCAGAACTAAGGCCATTCAGAAAGCAATCCACAACAGCTGAGATAGTAAATATTTGAACAAAAACACACTTTCAATGGTTGAAATGTGTCTTTAAATGTGTTATTTATATTTATCTGCTGCTTTGAAATAATAATGTGAACAAAATTCCTCAGATTAATTCAGAGTTTTTTTCCAAGGTAGTCAGTGTTACCATAAAATACAAAAGAACATAAACATTTTCCATGATCTCACAACCAATTGTATGATTTAATAATCTGTAACCACTTTATTTGATCATTTAATTGTTCAGCTCATGCATTTGTGTGTCTGCACACACACATGCACAAATTGGATGGTTTACTCACTTGTTCATAGAACTCATTGACGATGCCCTCTGTCCACTGCAGATGGAGATCCTTACACTTTAGAGGCCCGTTGATATCAGCCAGTTTAATACACATCTGGCACACCAGCAACCTGTCATTCTCATTGGACCAGTCGATACCTGTCGAAGGATCATCACCCACCTGAAGGATCAACAACCAATCACCGTGGTGTTTTTCAACGATTAAAAATACTTGAGGGACATATTTATGCCCTGAACAAATCCCATTGCTTTAATACCATAAGGTTTATAGCATAGATGGAGTTTGAGTTGTAGATCTAAAACAGGAAGGGTGTAAAGTTATCACAACAGAAAGAATTTGCTTCCAGGGTGAAAAGCGGGGCTGCTGGGTTATAATTTCTGTTCCTTTCTGTTGCAAACCCAAAGAGCTCAGCGCTGGCTGGCAGAACCACTGCACCCCTTCTCACAGTGGAATAATTCAAAACTCTGACTCAAAGCCAACATTTATTCTGCATCTAATTCTGTTGTTGAAATGCTGCAGGGTGCTCGTGTTTTGAATCTTGTCCTGCTTCACTAGGTAAAAGGAAAATCACTGGCCAGTTTTCTGTTGGCGATGGTTCCCTTCAGCATTTAAAAAAGTGAGCAAGGAGGAGAAAACACTGGACTCAGAAACTAAAGATCTGACAAATGTATCACTAAAAGACTGAAACAGTGAGTAAATGTATTCAAACTGCAGATAGAAATTAACTAAGAGGATACTTATTTTAAATTAATTTCACCATCAAGAGTGTCTCCGTATCAAAATGTCACAGCTTTTTGATTTTTGTTGTGAAATATTCAACAGTGATATCTTTTTAAAATACCTTAGCATTGAACTCAGCCAGAAAGTCAAAGTGCTTCTTTAGATCAGTGGCCAGTATGGCCTCAATAACCAGGAAACGAAAGCGTTTAAACTCCACATGATCCAAGTTGACGAGGAAATTGTATTCTGGGTGAGACATGAAGAGGTTCCAGGCCGAGGCAGCGTGGTGGTTTTCCAGAACCGAGCGGTCATTGTAGAGCACCGCCTGCAAACACCCAAATGGTCAGCATAAACATGTGCAAAATCACCTTTACTCATATTTTTAATACATTTGCAGTGGTCTCTAGTAGGAAAGAATGCCCTGTAAGTCATTTTCTGGGGGTAAAAAAGCTCCAGTGCGCCTGTATGAGAACATAGAGGTCAGCTGGATTTGAAGTCTTATTTCTTGATATTTACTAGATATATTGCCTCTGATTGGATAACAGCAACGCAACTCTACCACTGACACTGTTTGCTGTGCAATGATAATGTTTGATCTCGACATAAGACTCAAGCTTGGAAGAGCTTCCGCTGTGTGGTGTAGTTGATTAGCTTCTGCTAGTCGAGACGTTCACCGCTGTTTCCTGGACGTTAAACCAACAACAGCCTTCCCTGCCGCAGATCAAGATGGTGGAGTCCATGAATGTTAAGTGGCAGTCTGACATAAATCTGTCAGGCTTTTTTGAACCAAATGGTTTTCCGTCTATTTTTCATCAGAGGTTAATGCAGGAAATGAAACCTGCATGTTAAACTCAGAGTCACTGTTCATTTTCAAAAAATAGTAAAAACTGTTTTTCAGGGAACTTGCTCTTTAAATTAGCCCAGAAACAAAATGTTTGTATGAAGTTCTTATTAAATATGTAGTTGTAGTAAGAAGTGCTACAGTTCAATGTCCAACATATTTCCACTTGAAGTAAAACAACATTCTGTCTGCCATTATAAATTACACACAACCACCCAGTTATTAGAATACCACTATTTGAACTCTTTTTTTACACAGTGCATAGTTTCTATGTTATGAGGAGCTTTGCTTTCTAAAGGAAACAAGCTAAGTCACTGCTGGAATAAAGAAAAGGTCATATTGTTATGATGACACCAGTGCTTGGGCTAGAACCGGATTTGGGCCCTCTCACAATTCCTTCATGGACTTGATGCAGGCCACTAAAGTTGACCTCATCATTTGGGTGTAAATAAGCAAAGCATAAACACCTAGGAAATTTGTGCTCTGATCAATTAATTATTTATTTGTTGTACCAATGAAGATTGTCAAAAATATTGTATCGATTGAATTCTTGTCTATACTACGTAGTAGAATTTGTAATAATAGAACACCCATGGAAGGGGCAATATCAGTGGCCTAGTGGTAGAGTGTCCGCCCTGAGACTGGGAGATCAGGGATCAATTCCTGGTCGGGTCATACCAAAGACTTAGAAAAAAATGGGACCCAATGCCTCCCTGCTTGACACTCAGCATTACGGGGTTGGATTGGGGGGTTAAACCACCAAATGGTTCCTGAGCGTGGCTGTGTCTGCAGCTCACCGCTCCCCCAGGGGATGGGTCAAATGCGGAGAACAAATTTCTCACACACATCAGTGTGTGTGAGAACTGATGGGACTTTAACTTTAACTTAAACATGGCTAAATGTGTGGGTATCCTTACAAATTAGTCTCAAAGTGTCCCAGTTATTTCCCAATTTACTGCTATTGTATTTGCACACATTTCTCACACTGTTTCAAATCCAAACCACTCAGAAACGACACCCCATTTCTCACAAAGAAATGTTAAGTTAGCAAAATTTAACGAAAAAACTTGGAAACATATACAAATTGTACTTTTTCCTGCTATGTAAAATAACATTGTTGTAAATATATAGCTACTTCTTTTTGCTTATTTTTGTCTTATAAGCCCATATGGGCTGGGCACGTGTCATGCATGACACTTAAATAAAACCTATTCATTCACTCATTTCTCTCCTGAAATTAACTTTTTGACTAGAATGAACTACCAATAGTTCATCTAGTCTTTGTCATGGCAGATGGCTGTTCATACTGAGTCAGGGTCTGCTGGAGGTTTCTTCCTGTCAAAGGGGAGTTTTCCTCTCGCCTGTGGCTTCATGCTTGCTCAGGATGGGGATTACTGTAAAGTCACTGAAACAACAAGTCTGTGATTTGATGCAGTCTGATGGGTTTCCTTACATAGGAAGCTTTTGTTCTGACCAACTGACCAAGACAGGAAGAGACTGAACAAACTGGTTAAGAAAGCTAGCTCAATTTTGGGCTGCATATTGTATTCTGTTGAGGAGATGTGTGAAAGGAGGATGATGGCGAAGATGACCTCCATCTTGGAAAATTCCTCCCACCCACCGCATTCCACTGTGGAGACCATGGACCGTTCCTTCAGTCACAGACTGAGATGTCCAAGATGTAAAACAAAACACTACCATAGGCCATTCACCTCCTCTGAAGTAAGAGTGTATAACTCCACAGTTTAACTGGTACTGCCGTTATCCTGTTCCACAATAACATCAATGCAATATTCAGTATGTGTTCAATACTTGTGCAATTCAGGATGTCTGTGTCCCTTATGCTGCATAGTTCTGGAAACCCGCAAGTCTCCTTTTATTCATTGTTTTTTGTGGTTGAAGGTTGCAATATTAGCGTATTACCTTTTTGAGTTTACCTGTGTACTGTATGTGCTGCTGTAGCAAGTGCATTTCCTCACTGTGGGATTAATAAAGTCTATTCTATTCTATTCTATTCTATTCTATTCTATTCTAACTGGAATAATGACCTGAACTCAGTGCACTGACTAGGTTCAAATGAAATGTTTGCTTTTTAAAGTACTTTGAGATGACTCTTGTCATGAATTGGCACTTTATAATTGAACTGAATGGAATTTAAATGGTGGAAATTGACGCTGAAATTAATTAGGTTGTCCCTAGTGGCTGGATGCAGAACAAGTTTTAAGTCTTTTCTCTCAAAACAAACAAATGGGGCATTTTCCTGTCTAAAAAAAAAATACAAATACACCTCAACTATTTGTCCATGTGTTTTCCCTGGTGTGGACTTCAGTGGTGAAAAAATATGATAAAAGAAAAATCAATACCTAGTTATGCATTGTATTATCTAGATCAAGTACCTGAGGGGCACTGGTGGCCACAAGGAAAGCATTGGTCCTCCCTGGGTGATCGTAGTCGTGCATGGCAGCAGCCACGTAAAGAGCCATGAGCTCCAGAGCAGGTATGAGGCCTGACAAGCAGCCGTACCCGTCCTCTGACACAGTGTAGGTCTTTGAAACTAGGAAGCCCATATGACTGTGAGTGATCCCGCTGTCAGAGTCTGGCCATGGGGGAAACAGAAGTTAGGAGGTTCAGGAGCATAGTGGAAGAATTTACACACACACACACACACACACACACACACACACACACACACACACACACACACACACACACACACACACACACACACACACACACACACACACACACAATGTTTAAATCCACTTACATCTGCATTAAAGGGATGAGCCTGGTATGGCATACAAATAGGGTTATGGAAATACGGGTGTGGGGGGACTGTAATTTGTCAGCGATTTTATGCTGTTCTAGACTTCAAAGTGTTTTGTGTGTAAGAGAACCTGCATGTTGGTTGACCTCACATAGATGAAAAAAGTTACCAAATACATGGGTGTTGTCACCATGTAGGAACTGGTAACTGGACTTACCTGAGTCACTGGCAGAACCGTGATCCGTGATGAGGCTAGGTAAACCAGGAACAGGCTGCGTGGTGAGGTACCAGACGGCATGGAGAACATCTGTGGCATGGATTCTGTTGTGATCTAGGTCAGAAGAGAAAGCTTCCCTCAGAGCAAAAAAAAAAAAACACTCCACCAGGGTGCACTGTTGGGCTGCCTGTGTTTAATTTAAGAAGTTAAAGGCAGCATAAGCTGGTTTAACAGAAACTTTAAGGGGCCTGTTTCCATCTAGTGGCTGATTTTATCCTCACAGCAAACAAAATAGAAGTAAACTTTCAAAGAAAAATAAACATGGTGAAACGTACATGGTATGTCTCTGTATCCGTTCTCCAGGGCATGGAAGTAGTTCATGAACTCTTTCACAGGGATCTTAAAAGTCTCAAACAAGCCAGTGTCTTCAAAAAGCCTGTAAGACACCTGTGATGTAAAAATAAACAGAAGTAAGTCCAATGTTCCATAAACATATTTTCATTTGTAATTGTACCTCCCACTGATAAACAGATTAGGTTGAACATTTTGTTCCTGATTCACACGTTCCTGCCACATCGTTCACTGACACAAATATCGGGATTTTTAACCTTGGTTTTTCTTGTGCAATTTTGGCCTTGGGTCATTTTATTAATCTTTGATGAATAAAAACAATCTAGCTTGGCCATTTTCTGTAAAAAAAAAAAAAAAAAAAAAAAAAATTATCAAGGTAACACAATATCATTCCCTTGCACCTCAAGTTCATTCAAAAAATTGCATCCTGGTAATAAAAATATTAATCCCACAAAATATTTGCTCTAAACATTCACCATTTTTACATTAATATTTTATTTTGCTAGTTTGAATCTGCAGTCTACCAAAGAGGAATAGGAACAACTGCTTTTCTTGGAAAGGAGAGAATCTTGAAGTTATGCAGCGTTAGCTGATGCTAAAACAATAAGGGAGGGATGACACATGCAGCTCTGAAAGATATGGTGTTCAATATTCATTTTATCAAGCATTTTATGAAAGAAGTTCTTTTGGAACGCTTCTGAAAAAAATATATAAAAAACATTCAAATCAATGATTGTGGAAAAATTAGGGGTGAGAAAATAAGCATATACCAAACTAGTGTATTCTTGAAATACATAGTTTTAAACAGTTCAGTTTATTATTATTATTATTATTATTATTATTATTATTGATGATGATGATGATGATGATGATGATGATGATGTTTACATGATTCCTTCTGCTTTTTAAATTGTAGATTAAGTTTAAGAAATGCTTAATCAAAATAAATAACAGAGGGAATCATGTAAACAACAGAAAGTATAAGAAATAACCCTCCCTGGGCTGCTACCTTACCATGCTGGAGGGTTTTTAGTGTCCTAATGATCCTAGGAGCCAAGTTGTCTGAGCCTTTGTGCCTCTGGTAGGTTCACCCATGGCAAACCGTTCCTAGGTGAGGGCGGGTGCAGCCCTCAGATCCCTTATGACGATTAATACAAATGGAAACCATGTTCTCTTGCCTGGACATCACTGGGGCCCCCCTCTTGAGCCAGGTCTGGAGATTGGTATAATTGGTGAGCACCTGGTGGTCGGGTGTTCAACCATGGAGCTTGGCCGGGGACAGCCCAAAGAGGAAATATGGGTCCCCCTTCCCATGGGCTCACAACTTGTGGGAGGGGCCAAATGAGCCTTGGCGGTCTGATCCTTGGCTACAGAACCTGAATCTTGGTACGTGGAATCTCACCTCTCTGGTGGGAAAGGAGCCTGAGTTGGTGTGTGAGGTTGAGAGGTTCTGACTAGACGTAGTCAGACTCACCTTGACACATGGCTCTGGCTCCAGAACAAGTTTCCTTGAGAGGGGTTGGACACTCTGCCACTCTGAATTTGTCCCTATTGAGAGGCACTGAGCAGGGGTGGGCTTACTAGTTGACTCCCATCAAGGTGCCTGTACGTTGGGGTTTACCCCAGTAAACAAGAGGGTAGACTCCCTCCGCCTATGCGTGGGGGGACGGGTCCTGACTGATTGTGCTTATGCACCAAACTACAGTCCAGACTACCCACCATTTTTTGGGTCCTTGGAGAGGATGCTAGACAGCACCCTTTCCGGTGACTCCCTCATTCTTCTGGGGGACTTCAGAAGAAAAAGAAGAAGAAAAGCTCTTTTCTATAGCGCCTCTCAAGATAAAAATCACTAGGCACTTCACAAAACTTTAACGCTCACAAGGGCAATGACAGTGAGATCTGAAGAGGTGTGGTGGGGAGTAATGGCCCCCCTGATCTGAATCCAAGCTGTGTTTTGTTATTGGACTTCTGTCCTCAATTGTCCATAATAAACATTGTGTTCAGACACAAAGGTGTCCATATGTGCTCTTGGCACCAGGATACCTTAAGCCGCATCTCAACAATCAACTTTGTTGTCATCTCATCTGATCTGTGGCCGCATGTCTTGGACACTCGGGTGAAGAGAGGGGTGGAGCTGTTAACTGACCACTACCTGGTGGTGAGTTGGTTTCAATAGTGGGTAAGCATGCTAGTCAGACCTGGCAGGCCTAAATGTATTGTGAGTGTCTGCTGGGAATATTTGGCGAAGTCTCCTGTCAGAAGAAGTTTCAAATTCCACTTCCGACAGAACTTCGAAAATGGGAAGGTGGGGGACGTTGAGTCCAAGTGGGCCATGCTCCATGCTTCCATTGTCAAGGCAGCCAATCAGAGCAGTGACCACAGGGTCATTGATTCTTGTTGTGGTGGCAATCCCCGAACTCGCTGGTGGACACCAATGGTTAGCGATGCTATCAAGCTGTACAAAGAATCCTATCGGGTTTTTTTATTTTTTTGGGGTGTGGAACTCCAGAGACAGCTGATGGGTACCAGGAGGCTAATGCGAATGGGACCCAGGTGGTCACAGAGGCAAAACCCAGCCATGGGAGGAATTCAGTGAGACCATGGAGCAAGACTTCTGTATGGCTTTGAGGAGATTCTGGTCCATCATCCGGCATCTGGGGGGGTAGAGGCAGCGTGCTACCAACTCTGTTTATACTGGGGAAGGTGTGCTGCAGACCTCGATTCAGGATGCGGCGAATCGGTGTGCAGAGTACTTTGAAGACCTCCTCAATCCCACGGCTCGTCTTCCAGTTAGGCAGCAGAGTCCGGAGACTTTGGGTTCGGCTCTCCAATCTCTGGAGCTGAGGTCACTAAGGTGATCAAAAAGCTCCTCAGTAGCAAGGTTCCAGGGCTGGATGAGATGCGCCTGGAGTTCATTAATGCTCTGGATGTTGTGGGACTGTGCCGGTTGGCACGGCTCTGCAATATTCAGAATCAGCTTTATTGCCAGCGCTCCAGTGACCCAGAGCATAGGAACTTGACTCCGCGAACACAACCGGACCAAGGTTAAACACACACACATGAAGACAAAAACAGGTACAGGCAGTCACGATAGCAGCCATAACGGCGCTCATTTCATAAGATGAAAAGGGTGTTACATGAGGATAATTGGGGTAAGGTAAAAAAAAAGGCATAGCAGAGTTAGACCCGGCGGGGAGTAACTCTATTATACAAAAAAACTCCTCAACATAGAAGCACGGACATCACAGATACAACATCAGAGTCCAATGGGGGGCAGGGTTGGGCGGGATCCTGAATCCTCCAACGGGAGCTGCCATTACGGCGCTTCACCAGCTGCAGTCGACAGGTGGGAGGGAGGAATGAGGAACAGAGAGCGCATTGAGTTCCTGCAGGTCGATGACCTCGAAGACAAAGTCACAATGTGAAGGCGGGGGGGGGGGGGGGGGGGGGTCGGGACACAGCATCTGTCAGCATTCCTCCTTTCGTGGGGGTGAGTTGAGGGCAGCCTTGGAGGCTGCTTGGCGCCAGATAAGGATAAGCAAGACTTTGTTTAGGGCAGACAGAGATAATTTTCCTCTCTGCCTTGGAGTCTATTAAGTGGTCATTCATGTCCACCAGTGAAGCCAATTTATACATTCTAAACATCCCCACACCGTCCGGCGACCCTCTCCGAGATGACATCCATCTTGCGCACTAACACAGGCAACGCCGCAAGGACACTGTCCAGCTTACGGTTCACCTCGAGTAACGTCCCAGTCTGTGAGGTCACCGCCCGGGCGGCACATTCCGTGGGTGCGGGTGGCACTCCAATCGCTCCCGTCTTCCCAAATTTCCAGAAAACCAGATATTCTCCCACTCCAATCAGAAGAAATCCAGTGATCATCAGGCCGAATATCCACAAATCTTCCACGTCCTCGATGGACAACTGAGAGAGGCACACGATTCGCCAGACCTCCCAAGAATCGAGTGCATATCCCGCTGCGAATGTCCCCTCGGGACAGGTGGGAGCCCCCTTCTCCGTTCTCATCGTAGAAAAAATCTTATCAATCGTGTTGAATGACCAGTTAATTAAGTCCATTTTTCAAAAAGAAGTGGTGATTTCAGGAGAAATGCAGAGAAGTGCTCTGTAGGTAGACAGGGCAGAGAGAGACTTGGGGAAGCAGATAAGGGAGCTGAAGAAAAAAGCGTCTGAACTCTCTGAGAGCTGGGTAAGAAAAAAAAACGGCATTGCGTGGACATTGGGGACAGTTCCACTGAATTGGCAGACCGGGGTGATGGTCCCTCTATTTAAAAAGGGGACTGCAGAACGTGTTCCAACTACGGAGGGATCACACTCCTGAGCCTCCCTGGTAAGGTCTATTCAAGGGTTCTGGAGAGGAGCGTCCGATGGATTGTCAAACCTTGGATTCAGGAGAAGCAATGTGGTTTTTGTCCAGGCTATGGAACACTGGACCAGAAACACTGGACCAGCTCTATACCCTTAGGGGGGTCCTGGAGGGTGTGTGGGAGTTTACCCAATCAATCAACATGTGTTTTATGGATTTTGAGAAGGTATTCGACCCTATCCCTTGGGAGGTCTTTTGGGGGGAACGTCGGGATTATGGGGTACCAGGCCCCTCACACAGGCTATTAGGTTCCTATTTGACCGGTGTCAGAGCTTGGTCTGAACTGCCGGCAGTAAGTCTGTCTCATTTCCAGTGAGAGTTGGACTCCACCAAGCCTGCCCTTTGTCACTGATGATTTTGTGCATAACTTTTATTGACAGGACTTCTAGGCATGCTAGCTAAGGTGTTGAGGTCATCCATTTTGGTGGTCTAAGGATCAGGTCTCTGCTTTTTGCAGATGATGTGGTTCTGTTGGCTTCATCAGAACATGATCTCTGGCTCTCACTGGAGCGGTTCGCAGCCAAATGTGAAGCATCTGGGATGAGAATCAGCTCCTCTAAATCCAACCACCTATGGTCAAGAGCTTTGGGTAGTGATCAAAAGTATGGGATCACGGATACAAGTCACCAAAATTTATTTTCTCCGCAGGGTGACTGGGTTCTCCCTTAGAGATAGGGTGAGAAGCTCAGTCATCCAGGAGGGGCTCAGAGTAGACCTGCTGCTCCTCCACATCGAGAGGAACCAATTGAGGTGCCTTGAGCATCTAGTTAGGATGCCTCCTTGACGCCTCCCTGGGGAGGTTTTTCAGGCACATTCAATCGGAAGAAGACCTAGAAGAAGACCCAGGACACACTGGAGAGTCTATGTCTCTCAGCTGGCCAGGGAACGCCTTAGGATTGCCCTGGAGGAGCTGGCCCAAGTGGCCGAGGAGACGGAAGTCTGGATCTACCTGCTTAGGCTACTGCCCCCGCAACCAGACTCCAGATAAGCGGCTGAAAATGGATGGATGAATGGATATAAGAAATATAATTCAGAAAAAATAATTTTTATGGGGAAATAATTTAATTGGATGGTAAGAAACTAACAATTAATAAATATTGTCAGAATTGCACCAGATTATATTAAATCTACTTTGTGGTATAAATAAAAAGAATAACAATAACTTGAAAATAACACAACGTGATATTGCAGCGTAAAGTATCTTAGCAGCGACTGCTGGGTTTTTTATTGTGGAATATGGCCCGTATCCTAAAATACAAATTAAACAAACATGGTGTTTCCAAGTGTTAATGTTGTCACCTGACTGAGGATCCTTCCGCATTTCCCACTTGTTTTCTCCATCAAGTTGAAAATCGGGAAGTTCCAATTGTTTAGCTGACACATCAAAGGCTCCAAGTCCTCCATTATTAACGGTTCTGGTGCCACAATTGGTTTGTCCTGAACAAGTTGACCCACAGTAATAATCGTTAAAGGTTGTACGTGTTCCAGAGAAAAGATTAATAGACTTTGCTGTGATGTTTCTGTCTCGTTAGCATGTCTGAGATGTCCTGCCTTGTTTTTTTTCTTTACCTCAGGAGACATCAGTGCATGAAGGATGACATTCTGGGAGGGGTTCTTCCCATTGGCTATGTCCTCCTCTGTGTGTGCTACATCACTGCTGTCGCTGTGGTTGGCTTCATGGGTGCTGTCATAGTCTGATGACACAACCACATGGTCCTCTGCTAAAAAAAGAAAAGGGAAGCCGAAAGAACCATCAAAATAAAGAAAAATCCTCTAACTATCTTAATAAAAACTTGATCTTAATATTCTGCTTAATCATTTTCTTATTTATCAGTAAAAATAGCTTTACTGAGCCAAGAAAAAAAAGCACAATGTTCTCCTTTAAAAAATGAAAGCGAGATGGTTCTCTCCAGAGAAACTTGTCTGTCTTTGTGTGTAAAAACAGTGGACTTCTGGAGCCTGATTTATTTGCTTTCAATTGAAACAAATCACAATCTTGAAGCGTTCATGTTCATTCAATGATAAAGCCCACCATTTTTCGGAATGAAACCATCTTTGTGTACTTAAAAATACTACATTTTTGCGTACCTTCCTTGCATAATTGATACACAGAATGCAGATTTTTTTTCTCAGAATTCTGACTTTAGTAATTAGCTGAAAAAAGCAGAATTTTGAGAAGTCAGAATTCAGAGATTAAAGTCAGAATTCTGACTTTAATCTTTAATCTCAGAAATCTTTTTCTTTTCATAATATATATATATATATATATATATATATATATATATATATATATATATATATATATGTATATGTATATGTGTATATATATATATATATATATATATATATATATATATATATATGTATACATATATATATAAAATTCCAGTGGCCCTAATCCTCATCTGGAGTGTTTACAGCATTCACATTCTTAGAAATTAGTTCAATGCATAACTTTCCCCAGCAAGACTATGTTATAAGAAAAAGAAAATTGGTGTACCTGATCGTGGTATTCTGTCTCCCTTATCTATAGAGCCCTCACCGTGACTCAGTCTGATGTAAGGTCTCCCACAGCTGTAAAAACCAAAGTATAGAATGTTAATAAATTATTATCACTGTCATTATTGCTTACGTAACAATTTGTTTGTTAGTTAACAACTACTGTGCAGTCAGGTATGATTTCACATGTAGGTCCTGATTAAAAGTGGGTAAGCCACAAAAATTAAAGAGGACATATCATGACTTTCTTAAATTATTCTATGGTCTATAAAAACATGTTTATGAAGTTCTTTGCACTAAATCCCTCTCACATAAAGCAATTTCATCCGCTTTAACATTTTCAGCACCTTCCAAAATAATAATTTAAGGGCTCTGAAAAAGCTGGGCTCGGAGAAGAGCCACTGCTTCTTAAGAGGTAGCTTCTCTTGCACGTGAGAGGCAGTTCTATTCTAATTTCCCTGTTTGTGACATCACAAATGGGGACTTTTTGAAACTGCTTGTTTTAGACACATAATTCCTAAAACCAAACAAGGACAGAAAATGGATGGACACATTATTTTCTCCATGTTTGAAGTGTTTATAGCAGCAGTAGAGAAAAGGTGAATTTTGTTTAACATACCCTCCTTAACCTTAACATAAATCTGAACACAACTTTATATTTTTTTCTTATATATATTATATTTTTGTACTTTACAGCCATAGACAAATTATGTGAAGTTCCAAAATCTAATTCAAATACAGAAAATAATAAAATCTGCATTTTTAATAAATAAATAAAAACTCATCCTATATTCGGGTCAATACGGTAATTTTGTGCCACCCCTTTGACAGCGATCAGAGGTGCGCTGCAACACACAAACACAACCTCTGCCATTCTCACGGAAATCAGGGACGCCACAAGCACACATTTAGCCTTTTTGTGGCTCAGGAGCCTGCGGGTACTGTGTGTGTCACTTCATCCCGCTCTGAGATATAGCAAATATTTCCATTACTTGTTTAAGTTAAAATTCTTAAACTTAGTTTACATACCCACCAAATAAAAGTAAAAACATTTAAAAAGTTTGTTTGGCTACGAGGTTCTCAATATAAAAAGGGTAGTCCTAGGCTAAGCCAGGCCCACCCATAGCCACACCCCTGCAATTAACAAAAAAAATAAAAATAAAGAAATCATCCCAGGAAATAGCAAAAAATATCTGACACCTTCACGGGTTCTCATTTGATCTGACAGCTGCATGAACAATCTATCTTTTTTATTGAGTTGGATGGTTTGCAGTGTGACATTGTGAAGAACCTCCCATGCTGCCCTCAACAGCTTTTCCATATGTATCCTCAAACGCTACTGTCAGGCTGCTGTAGATGGTTCCTATTAAAATACTTCTCTCTAAACGTTGTAAAACCTGCCCTCTCAGAGCAGGAAATGCCTGCTGCTGTAAGCCCTGGGTGTTACAGGAAGCACAAAGGCCTGTAGTGTGTCCATCTCCTTCTGATAAACTGTTTCTGGAATACTTTCTAGCCGTACCCACCCTCCATAACGGTCCCTGGGCTCTAACAAACAGTGTACTGTTGTTCTTCTGTCGCCAGGTTGGACCTCTGTGTCTTAATGCCTAACAGGTGTAGAATATAAAATAGTTTGATAGTTTGGCGAGTGAACAGTTAGAACATTATTGTCAGGGGGGTCTGGGCAGCCAGCAGCAGCACTTGGCTTTGAAAGGCTTCATTTTAATGAAAGTTGAAGAACTGGCAGACACGTTTGCTGTTCTACTAATGCAGCAGAACAACCTTGGCTGCACTGACCCCGAGCCTCCTGCTCAAAATGTAAATAAGGAGGCTGGGTATTTTCACCTGGACGAGCCGTCAGTCAAATATCAAGTGGCTCTGCTTTTATCACAGAGAAAACAGCGCAGCTACAGAGGTAAGCACTGGAGTTACAGTAATTTGACTGTCTCAGTGAGATGTACGCATACATTATGAAAGCATAACACACATTCCAGCATGTATGTGCTTCAACCCTGACTGCTAGGAATAACATTTATCTTGTATAAAAGAATGTGTGTGTAATGTTGTCTTTTGGAAGTACGTCACCACAGCACTGATCTGAGACGGCCAGAGCAAAAGGGTGCTGTTCAGCAAAAACAAAAAGTGTACCAATGTTTTGTAAATGTTTGACCATGAAGGAGGTTCTTCACATTTGCTGAAATCCCAGATGCACTATAAAAGAGGGGCAAAGGGGGACAATGCCCCCCTTTATTTCCAACTTTCTAATTTAGTGGCACCCCTATCTAAGCCTAGAAATCAAGACAGACATTTGTTGAAGCAAAATGACTTTCTCCTGCATGTCAGTCTAGCCACACTCCATTGGAGCATCAACAGGCCTACCATTGGCCTGAGTAGTATTGTGTTATGCCAATCACAGCACTCTATTGGTTTGGTGGGCAAGATGATGCAACAAACCGTTTGAAATGGCTTTGACATCCACCACTGAGCATTAGCCAATAGAGTAAGACTTCTGCTCATATATATCGCAAACCAACCAAGTAAATGGCATCGTGTACAAGAACATGTGTGCAGAGTATGGACTGAAAGCCCCAAGGTCAAAGTGGGTAACACCCACTAAGGTGGTAGAGAACGAAAGAGCCAAGCTCCCGTGGGACTTCCAGATCCAGACTGAAAAATGGTGATGGCGAACCAACCAGACATTGTGGTTGTGGACAATCAACAGAGGACAGCTGTTGTGGTTGATGTGGCAACACCAAGTGATGGCAACATCAGGAAAAAGGAGCACGAGAAACTAGAGAAGTACCAGGGCCTCAAAGAATAACTTGACGAAGCCAGGAGAGTGAAGTCATGGTGGTGCCCGAGGTCATCGGTGCACTCGGGGGAGTAACCCCCAAACTGGAGGAGTGGCTAGAGCAGATCTCAGGAAAAACATCAGACATCTCAGTCCAGAAAAGTGCAGTTCTAGAAACAGCTAAGATACCAACACATTCTCACTCCCAGCGCGTCAAAAACAAACGCTTGGTCAGCCATCCTCCGCGTCAGACCCTTGATGCCAAAAGTGCCCTTTTTCATCACTTATGTGTGAAAATGGGTTTTTCCCTTTTCTGACTGCAGATCCCAATGCAGCGTAAAACTGACGTGATGGGATGTCCGCTGATGCCGCACCAAACAAACTCATTTAACCACACCTAAACCTTGACATTTTGCTATTTACAACCTTCCCCTCACCCTCATCCCAACCTTAACCCTCTTGCTACCTAAAACGTCTCTCTCACTGTGATCAAGCGTTTGTTTCCCATGCATTCTGACTGTGAATTTTCGTCTTTGCCGCCCAAGGGGAACGTTAGAACATACCATCTGACGAGGGGGAGGTTACAAATACCCTCTACTTTTAACCTCCACCTTGGTAGTTGAAACCTCCCCCTCACGTTGCCTCGGTCCAAACCCGACCAATGACGAGGCAGCTCCCGCCGTTCACTTCATAGAGCTTTTAGAGCGATCGACACATCACCAACGTGTTAGCTAGCAAGATGGTTAAGGTTAGGATGGGGGTGAGGGGAAGGTTAAATAGCAAGAGGATAAGGTTAGGGTGAGATACAATGAGCTTGTTTGGTGCCCTGGCTGCGGATATCCCGTCGCGTCAGTTTTACGCTGCATTGGGATGCACCGGTAGCGGATATCCCATCGCCTCAGTTTTATGCTGCATTTGGATCTGCAGTCAGAAAAGGGAAAAACCCCTTTTCGCACATAAGTGACAAAAAAGGGCACTTTTGGCGTCAGGGGTCGGACGCGGAGGGTGGCTGACCAAGCGTTTGTTTTTGACGCGTTGGGAGTGAGACTGCAGAACCCTCAAGCTCCCAGCCTCTGGTAGAGGACCCAAGCGATGAGACTACCTGTGGGGGGTGGGATGTTTTTTTTCATTAAATACACACATCTGTTCTTAAATCTCTACACTGGTTAACAGTAAACTACAAAATGGATTTCAAAGTGCTTCTACTAGTTTGTAAATCACTCAATGGGCCGAAATACATGTTGGATCTCCTTCCTGTTTATACACCCAGCAGGGCTGAGATCTTTAGGAAGCACTGTGCTGTTAGAATCCCAGGTCAGATCCAAACAGGGTGAAGCTGCTTTTAGCTACTATGCTGCACACAGATGGAATCAGCTTTCTCGTGACCTCAAATGTGCCTCAGCTGTAGTAACCATTAAATGAAACTGAAAACTATCATGTATTTAGCAGCCTTTGAATAAATGTTTCTTATGCTGCACCTTCTGCACTGTAACTGCTGTCTTTAGTTTTGCCTTTTTATTTCATTCTTACAACAAATCTTATTTGAATTTAAAATCTACAATTTTATGTTACATTTATTTTTCCTGTTCTTGCTATTGCAAAGCACTTTGAATCGCCTCTGTGTTTGTGTGTAATGTGCTGCCTTTATGAATAAACAGTATCAACGTGTTTTAGCTCTGTTTCTCGGCTGGAGCTGCATTCAAAAATGAGAGGCTATGCCTATTCGGCCATATTAATGGAAGCAGGGGAAAGGGCTTGAAGGGCTTCAAGGTGCAATGCATTTTCCCGCCTCTAGATGGTGCACTGTGAGAAAAAACTCCAGATTTATGCTGCAAACATGTCTTATTATTGCCTTGTAAAATTTTTCTGCACAAATTTTAACAATTATTATTATTTAAAAAATGTAGATGGTTTCTAAAATTGAAGAGCCACGTTGGCTGTAAACTCTGTTCTCCCTGTAAGTTTTGGGCAGAAGGCTGCAGCTGGCCTTTGTTTGCTCCTTTCTCAGCAGCATTTTACTGCCAGATTTTCAGACTCCTCACAACAGGTTGACAGATTATCTTTGGTTCAGAGCCCAAACGGACATTGCCCAAGCCACTATAAACACAGCAGCTATTATTTCTGCTTCCAGTAATCTACCTACTCTTGAGCCAGATGACGTGACACTGATAACGGCACAGCGGCCCAGAGTGCTGTGAATGGGAGGTATCAGTTGTGCCATTTTAACAAGCGCCTTCTGATTAAAAAGTGATACTGCAGCTTTGAAGTTGGTGTTGTTCCTTCTTGA